ATCTTAGGCAGAGCAGAATCAATAAAGCAATATTGACAACACATTTTTTAAGCTGTATAAAGTATCAAAAATAGTCTAATAAGGGTAAGAACTTCCGCATGGAGTCAATACATCGTTGCGTTCATATCAGAATGTTTGTACATTTTTTATGACAAAACCATTGATAAATAGACAGAAAGGAAGTGCGTATGCTTAAGATTTGTGTATCGTTCAACTTGGGTCCAATTTTATTACCATTGTCTACTTCTTGGGGAAGCGAGCGATAAAGAAAACTGAGACTTTTATCAATCCCGTTACAGATGAAAGTTATGTATCGGGATGTTAAAAACGTCAGACCCGATTCTAGCCATAACATAACCCAAAATTACCAATAATTATAAGCAGGTATCATAATTACTGAACCAATTTCAACTAATTTTCATTTTGAGCATTTTTGTTAACTACGGTTTCTATTATAGTTTTCAAGATACATGTAGTACGAAATAATGCTTACATTGGTTTAAAGTTCGTCATTTAAGGACATGAACTCCTTGGAAGCGTCAGTTTACGGTTTGTTTGTTACTGGCATTTTTGGTTTGTTGCTGATCATTTTTGCTGGCTTTATTTGTCTATTTTTTCATTTTGCTGATTTATCTAAGTTCGCTCCGTTATGAGTTCAAGGTGTCCTGTATAATTTTTATTGATACTCTAGAAACTGTACAGCTGTATGATTGCCACCAGAAACCAAAGCACGCAGATGCTAGAAACTATGGGCCATCCGCGGCCTTTGATAATGATCAAAGCCCATACCGTATGACAAGCTATAAAAGACGCAGGCTTGACAAAATGTGAAACAATGCAATCGAGAAAACCAAAATTGAGATGAAATCGACTGTTGTAAGAGGGGAAACAACCTGCAAGTTATAGATATTGTTTACTATATCAAGTATATTTTCATCAATCTAAAAATAAGGACATGTGGTATGATTGCAAATAAGACAACTATCCCCAAAGTTCAAATGGAGTTGGTGGAAGCAATTATAGGCAACCGTACGGCATTCAACAATGAGAAAATGACCACGACATAAAAATTCAAAACATTTCAAACGAAAAAAACCAACGCCCTTACAAGTTCCGAAAAACAAATATGACAGACATGAACCAACGACAACCACTGAACTACAGGCTCCTGACTTGGGACAGGCACATAAAGAATGTGGCGGGGTTAAACATGTTTGTGTGCACTCTATCCTACTGGGACTGAGGGGTTACAGCACAAGATAAACTGTAAAAATCAGTAGAATTGTCCTTACTCAAAAGATCGATACGAGGCTCAAAAAACCTAACATAAAAACAATAGAAGCAAAGCACCGAAATAAGAATACTCGCAGTTACTGAAAGCTAGTTCAAAGCCAATTAGAAACTAATGAATAAATCATGTTTCCCAGATCAAAGTATCAATCAGTAAAAATCCAACGGATTTATTGTAAAAATGTCATAAAGACTCTGTGAAAATGATCTTGTACGTGCAATGCCAAAATATACGTAAACAGTATCGACAGGATGTAGGATAATGAGTTCTCATGACTGAACATATATAGCAATATATATTTAGGTATGTTTTAAGTATATTTTCATCAGTTCTTTTGGATGCTGCGTTACTACATTCAATTGGTACATTGTGGAATATGGGAGATCCCCCCTATCATAGTTGTAGAAGAACGTTCCAAAATGGGAATTTTAAAGCACTTTAATTTACCCCCCACCCAACCCCCAAAAAAATCTCTACAGGAAAATAGTAAACCACTTATTTCTATGAATATTGGTACAACAGATACCAAAAACACGGGTAATACTTATTTTTCGTTTATTTGTTTATATATGAACCAACGACAACCACTGAACTACAGACTCCTGACTTGGGACTTTCAGAATGTGGAGGGGTTAAACAAGATTGTGAGCGCTCAACCCTCTCCCTGACATGGGGCAGCGGTGTAAATGCACAACATAAGATCAAATTGTAAAAATCAGTTGCAATTGACTTTGATCGACTAAGTAATTTGGTATCATCTGCGAACATTAAAACATCAGAAAATACATTGTTTGGCAGGTCGTTGATGAAAGAATGGGATCGGTCACAATATGGAGTTCTGTGGAATACCTGCCGCTGGTTATATTTCTGATTGCTAAAATCAAATCAAATCAAATCATTTTATTGGTGTAAAATCCAAATATTGGGTTGTTACCAAGACAAACTTGACAATATTTACAAACATACAATATTTAAATTTAAGCATCATTCATATATAAGTATCTCGTATATTTAGATATTTTGGAGGAGGTAATACTTTTGCAAATTTAAAAGTAAAAGTACAATATTAATGCTATTGTCATAAAATATAACATAACACATATATATGAAAAATAGAAAATAATCACAAATTTGTATTACATAATTAGTTTTTCTTGTCAGGTAGGTTATTTCTTAGTACATATAAATCATTAACCCCCTTAACAATAATTTTAGTTATGTCATACTCATTAAATGTAAACATAAATGTAATATTTTCCTCATCAGACATTTTGTTGAAAGATGGAACTATACTCTCTTCTTCCTGAAAAAGTTTTTGCCTACGTTTTTCTAAAATTTGATATTTTAAAGCAAAGTGATATTTATCGTCAACCCCATTTTTTATATAGGTTTCAAACAACTTTCAAACAACTTTCAAACAGTTTTAAATGTGGATAAATATTAAGTTTATCAGAGAATAAAAGCTTTCTGATGCAAAACATTACCTTTGAAGTTTTTTTGCACAGATGATTAACCGCATAAAAGAAAATTCCTGAAGGCTTAAACAAAATTCCCAAATATTTATATTCATTGGTCAAATCAACTGTCTGTTCATTGAATTTAAAGTTGTAATTTAGAACTTTACCTGATTTATTAAAAATCATAACATTAGTTTTGTGTAGGTTTACAGTTAATTTCCACTTATCGCAGTAAGTGTTGAGTTTGTCTAAACATCGTTGTAAGCCAGACTCTGATTCAGATATTAACACAAGGTCATCTGCATATAACAAGCATGATGCATTTTTATCATTTAATATGGTAGGATCACAGGAGCTATCAAATATGGTAACTAAGTCATTTATATAAAGTGAGAACAATGTATTGCTATGAGAAACCCCTTCATCAAATTTAATTGTAGTTTGCTCACTTTATTCCCATAATGACGTATCTTGTGAAGCAACATCATATGCGGAGCCGTGTCGAAAGCTTTCATTAATTCCATGTTTATATATACCGATTGTAACACCACCATCATTTAGTAAATGCGTCTGCTTGTCCATGACTTTCAGCGGCTGAAGTGAAGTAGATCGTCCACCCATAAAACCGAACTAGTGATTGCTGAATAAATTATGTCTGTCAATGTGCTCAATAATTCGCTAACGGATATAAGCTTGTCCATAACTTTACACAGGATGCTGATAAGACTTAATTCACCAGTAGATTCAGATGCTGACTTCTTTATAGCAATCTTCCAATTCTCGAGAACCACCATAGTTACAAAAGAGCTAAATATGAAAATGAAAAAAGAGGTTTATCCACAACAGATCGATGCATGCTAATTCAAACAGTAGTTTTGGAAGGACTCTCTCTAGACCTGGTGATTTGCCGTTTTGTGTTTAAACTCAGCTGTAATATCCTGTCTTCTTTTCTAGTAAAAAAAAAACTAGAGTGCTGACTATAATATATATGTAATATCACTGGCATATTACTTTCATTTTTATTCATGAGTGAAAACACTGCTAAAAATCCCGTAAGGAATTCTGCTTTGTCGGAGTCACTGCTTGCAACTTTCACTGGCACGGTATTGTTCTCTGTCGTATATATGTTGTTCTGATACACAAAATTAAGAGTTTCAATTTTTCTTTCAGCGTTGACATATTTCCAAAAGTTTTTACTATTGGTTTTGGCTGATTTCCATGATCCCTTTTTCCATTTCCTTTCTCTCTTTTCTTGTTCAAATTGTTCTAAACATTTCTTGTCCTGCAAAATTCCCGATAACTTTCCCCACTCTGTTTTTCCATGTTACGTTCCCATAATCAATGGTTACGTCTAATTGTGACACTTAATTAATTCTGAGAGTCTCTCTTCTAATGGTCATATATATTACCTAGCTTTCGAATTTTCCGCCGGTTCTTTAATGGTACATGTTTATTCACAACTTCGTTGAACTTAATTGTCCATAAAAGCTTTGAGCATATCATTTTATGTCATATTTGGTTAGCCGGACAAATAGTCCCAGCGCTATTCATCCGGCTAGCCGGACAAATAGGCCGGCCAAGCGCTGTTCATCCGGTTAGGCAAACAAATAGCAACTGCCGGGTCTGCCTACTCCGGCAGCGCTATTCATCCGGCCAAGCACTGTTCATCCGGCTGGGCAAACAAATAGCAACTGCCTAGTTGTTTTAGGCACATAATTTTGATTGTTTCGCTCATTGTTTGCACTGAATATCCAACTGTATGCCACATACTTAACACTACTATGCTTGTCTCGCCTTTTGTATCCACTAAAAAGGGTAATTAAGACAAGCATTATCATGTATACAAATTGAAAATTGAATAACAATGAAAAAATCCAAATCCGAATCCAAGCGCCTGTGGTTTTTTAATGCTGTTTTTTTTTTACGGAAACATGTGACACCTGCCATAAAAATGGAAGCTATACGAGTAAATTGAAATCTTTTTACGTTTTTTAATTCTTCTAAAGGCTATCGGTATCATTATGATTTGACTTGTCGCAGCGAGAAAAAATATTCTATAATAAATTTGAGTGTTTTAAATATTGCTGAGAATGGGTTTTCCCCCATTGATTCATTATTTATAGAATATTTTTCACATAATTTGTCAAAAAAGATGCATTTTCTCCTATTTGCAAACATGAATGACATCATTCAGCCAATGATTGACCAATCAGGCTACCAGGAAAGTGCCCCATATGCGCACGCTTGTCGGAATTTGGCGTGGAATAGGGTAGTCGGCCATTTTGTTTGACTGACTAATCAAAAGGATTATTTTGGGATTTATTTACACACTTTTGATCCTCAGTAGGGATCTGTGTTGTACCAAAAAACATTTATAAACAATGGAAATCTGCAAATTTAACAATTAAATGTGGAAACCATGTCCGAGTGAGAAGAAACTTAGCTGTTTCCACACAGTCAAGGGCACCGTTTCGGCACCCGTTGCTGTATGAATGCACGGTTATAAACGAAAAAAACCTGTTCTATTTGACATTTACAATAACATTAAGCTTTAAATTTTAACAGGATATAGTCAAAGTTACATAGTGCAATTAATAAATGTCATCTATGATACTACGAAAAGTACGGAATCAGCTGATTACTTAGACCCTTCGATCGATTAGAAACCATAATTTATTCAACATGTCGACACGAACGCCTTTGCAGACCGTTCACGAGTCGGTGACAATTGATCATAGGGTATGTAGCCTTAACAATTTCGCCCATGAGTACTTGGAATATTCTCCAAAATACGCCCAGTACTTAAATGTCTTTATTTTTACTCTTTCAGCAAACCGACGACAACGCAAATCCCCGGATAACGTCGTCCAGGGCAAGGTCTGATGAACCACACATTGGAAAATATCGTCTTATAAAGACAATTGGAAAGGGAAATTTTGCAAAAGTAAAGCTAGCAAAGCATGTGCCAACAGGGAGAGAGGTTAGTATTTTGTTTTGTTTACCAATTAAATGTAATATCTGAGAACTTGGTTCAAGAGGGTATCCCAGTGTTCCCGGAAACTTTAGGTCCTGTCATACTGAACATCAAACAATCAGGTATGTCTGCCAATTTTGAGTGCAGTTGTGGATCCAGGATTTTGAAAAAATGCCCCTCCTGGTAAGCCAACATTTTGGGGCCATACTTGTTTAAAAGTCTGGATTTACATGTACCTATATGAAGCTTGCTTTCATGGCGATCCAACTCTCAAGTAGATCCGGCCCAAGTTGATGTGGTCCATATTTAAATTGATTTGGCCCAATTAAATTTTTTTACAAGGGATAGATTGATATACAATGTATATTTGACTTGGAAGTTGTGTCTTTGACGCATATTCAAACATATTATGTTATCAAGAATATTGGGTATGAATACTTATACACTAAAAACATATATTACAGAAGTTAGTACAATCATTAGTCCACATTAATCAGTAATTTTTCATACAAATTTGTATAATCTTTTCAACTGTGTAATAACAATTGATTACACACTTGTATTAAGCTCAGGGCTCATGTTAGCAGGCGACTAGGGGGCAGAAGTCGCTTTCCCGTCCGTCACTTCGCTTTGCACGACCTTCAAAAGCGATAACTAGTCGGCCTGGTGTTCACAATACTCGCTTTCACCGTCTTCACTTTTCATTTGTTATACCAAGTCGATGAAACAGCAATTTTTCATTTATAAGTAAAGAAATTCAGAAACAAACGATTTAATTCTTTTCAGTGTGTGAAACCTCCGCTCGCCAAACTGCCAAATGCGAGTAAGAATTGTATTTGGCAAGTCCAGATTCAATAGAACTCGCCCTTGTGGCTAGTGACTCTTCTGCAGTGACTTTGAATCATGCAAGCAAAAAGATCATTTTCCCGCAAAATCTATACTGTTATCCATGACTTCTGTTTAAACAGAAACCCAGATGATACATATTATGTTACTGTACATGTGTTCTGATTGGCTAGATGACAGTTGTATGAAAAACTTAAACTTATCAAAATGTGTTTTATAGACGTAGAAATTTACTTTCACTTTCTTTTTGCATGATTTGAACATTGTCAATGTAATTTTAAAATATGTTTTGAAGATTGAATTGAGAGTAAATTTCCTATAAACAATAAACAAAAACTTAATTCTAATAATGGATATTTAATAGATCAGCATGGAAAAAAAAGAAGAAGCCTATTTATTCATCTTTTATATAACACGAAAGGAAGGAAAAGGTCACCAAAATAATCTTTCAAAATTTTGGAAACTCACCAAGCTGGCAAGTGGGATTTCAAGTTGGCGAGTTAAAATGAAAAGCTGCTCGCCAAATTGGCAAGTTCTAAGAAAAAAAAAGGTTTCACACACTGCTTTAGAAAAGAGGAGAAAGTATTGACTTTACAGATTGATTGTATGTTATTTCATAAAGACAACTTTTTAACACTTCTGGTACTTGTTACTCGAGAGCGTACATCAAAACATTCTGATTTTCGGCAAAATAAATTTGTTACTTCATAAGAACGTGTAGAAAATTGCCTTTAGTTAATGTTCAATCCATTTATTGCATTAAAAACGTCATATTCCTTTCCAAATAGCTTGTCAAACATCCTTTATTTTGTAAATTTTCTTCGTCCGCCATTGAAATAATTGTGCGAACTACAGATCTGTGGCAGGATTGATCGGAACCGGACCAGATATGATCAAAATCCGTATTCTTACAGTAATAACTACGGATGCACTGATGGCACTGCTGACAGAAGAATAATGATCCCAAAAGGGAAAATTACGCATTAACAGACTTTTGGTTAGATCTCCTTGCTTAATGAATATATTTCCATTTATAAGCATTGTTTCATTTTATTGATTAAAGTTGCTTAACTTTGTTAAATTTATTTATCTTTTTAATCATTAGAAACAATGAATTTCATAAACATGATAAACAGAATAGTTTTTGTCGAGCCTGCAACTTTTGTCGCAGAAAGCTCGACATAGGGACAGTGATCTGGCGGCGGTGGCGTTAACTAACTTCTTAAAAGCTTTATATTTTAGAAGGTGGAAGACCTGGATGCTTCATACTTTGTATATAGATGCCTTATGTTACGAAGTTTCCGTCTGTCACATGTCCATTGTCCTTGACCTCATTTTCATGGTTCAGTGACAACTTGAAAAAAAGTAAAGATTTTTTGTAATGTTAATTTCTCTCTTATTATGAGTAATAAGGTAACTATATTTTGTATGTGCGTACCTTGCAAGGTACTCATGCCCGTCAGATAGCTTTCACTTGACCTCAACCTCATTTCATGGATCAGTGAACAAGGTTAAGTTTTGGTGGTCAAGTCCATATCTCAGATACTATAAGCAATAGGTCTAGTATATTTGGTGTATGGAAGTATTGTAAGGTGTACATGTCCAACTGGCAGGTGTCATCTGACCTTGACCTCATTTTCATGGTTCAGTGGTTAAAGTTAAGTTTTTGTGTTTTGGTCTTTTTTTGCTCAGGGTTCGACACTTACGCTAGTCTGCTAGCCCGAGGCTAGTAAAAATTAGGGAGGGCTAATAAAGTTTTCATGACAGTAGTCCGATGGGCTAGTCAAAATTTTGTTTAAAACTAGGAATTTCACAAAATTTTAATTGTCAACAAATCCCAGATTTTTTGCTGACCTTTGCTGTCTTTATTGTACAGTTTATTCACGTATATTTTGATTGTCAGACATTTTTAACATGAAAGGTACTTTTTGGGGAGGGGAAAGAAACAGAAACAATGATGGTACTTAATACATTGAAAACCATGTGTGTTAAAAACGCCGAGATGATTCTAATCAGAAACCTGGATCTCAAAAGTGCTTTCATAATATCAAATTAATAACATGAATACGAAATTTACATACATTACTACCGATACCATCGATCACTGTTTGGGAAAAATGTACAACTTATTGGGAGGAATTTTAAGCCATTTTTTAGTAATTGGGAATTTTCTATAGGGGAAAAAGCTGTATTTCGAATGTAATTTGAGTCAAACAATATCACTGAATTATTGTCATAAAAACAAAATTATAGGTCTCTGCAAGGATTTGTATACTACACCTCTTTTGTGGGTGTATTTTTAAATCCCTAACTTATCCATCTTCATTAAAGACACTAGTAATAATGATAAGTAAAATGAGGATGATGGTGAAGTAATGATCTAAAGGGGTCTTCAAAATAAGTCGAACACATTCTTAATAGCCTATAGATGAATAAAATATGAAAATTTTTTTTTATTGTTATTTTTTATTAGCAAACCAGTGAAATTTCATGAAACAAAACATGTTCAAAACCCTCTGGAATTGCTCCAGAACACAGGATTTAGCTTCATTTGTATTAAAATTTTCGGGGGGGGGGGGCATGCCCCCAGACCTTCCTAAGATAGGCGATGGCACAACCGTCCAAGACACTTGGAGGGCTAGTGTATTGACAAGAGGACTAGTAGAATAATAATTTCACTAGCTCTGCAGGCTAGTGCATACAATTAGTTATTGTCAAACCCTGTTGCTCAGTGTTAAGTTTTTATACGACCGCAATTTTTTTTGTGCATATATTGGTATGACGTTGGCGTCGTCTTCGTCCGGCGTCCTAAGACACATTGGTTTTCGCACTATAACTTTAGTTTAAGTGAATGGATCTCTATGAAATTTTACCATAAGGTTAAATACCACAAAAGGAAGGTTGGGATTGATTTTGGGGTTATGGTACTAACAGTTAAGGAATAAGGGGCCAAAAAGGGGCCACAAATAAGCATTTTCTAGTTTCCAGACAATAACTTGTGGAACGGTGTATGGATCTCCCTGAAATTATACCACAAGTTTCCATACCACAAAGGGATGGTAATTATTTGCTTTGGGGGGTTATGGCTCAAACCATTTAGGAATTAGGGGCAAAAAAGGGGGAAAAACAAGGTTGTCCTGGTTAATGGACAAATACTTTAGTACAAAACATAATTTAAAGCAGTGTAAGGGAGATAAATCAAATACATCATTTGAATTACCTCCCTTACACTGCTTTTAAATTATGTATAAAGTAATGGTTAATGAACAATTAAGACAATTTAAAACAGTGTAAGGGAGGTAATCCAAATACAACGTTTTGATTACTTCCCTTACACTGCTTTTAAATTATGTTTAAAGAATGCATATTTTATAAAGGAAGACTAGTAAAAATATCTGCAAATGTTGCATCTGTTTTTTTTTACAAAAAAATCCATATGAAAGATTTGACACCATATTTTAAATTCTATTATAAAATAGATTAAGTTAGCACTATGGTAGATTTAAATGGGTAATTATGGTTGCAAATTCCATTGGAAATTTGAATTGAGATTATGACCATATCTTGAGGGAAAGAATTTTTTTTGGGAAAAAGGGGGGGGGGGGGTGTGAAAAGAAATTTTGAGGGGTCAATTTTTTCTCATTTCAGATTTCAGAAATTAAAAAGAATTATTCTTCAAATATTTTTTTTTTTTCAAATTTCAAATATTGAAAAATTTCAAGAAGTAATCTTTAATTGCACAGTATGGCGCATTAAATTTGTAAAATCTTTGACCCCATTTGTTTATTTGTTATGCCGAATCTGACCGTGTATTTAGATTTTTAATTTTGGGTCTAGTTTTCAAATTGGTCTACATTTAGGTCCAAAGGGTCCAAAATTAAACTTAGTTTGATTTTAACAAAAAAATGAATTCTTGGGGTTCTTTGATATGCTGAATCTAAACATGTGTTTTGATTTTTGATCATGGGTCCAGTTTTCAAGTTGGTCCAAGTTGGGGTCCAAAATTAAACTTTGTTTGATTTCAACAAAAATTGAATATATGGGGTACTTTGACATGCTGAATCTAACCATGGAAGTATTATATTGACAGGAACTCCAACAAACCGATTTCAAACGTTTATAGTGCGATGCCGCAAAATCGTTAAGTATCTGTTAATTAACTTGACATCTTTCAATTAGTCGTATCGATGCATGGGTTCAACAACGTTTTTGGGATACTCGTAATTACGGAATTTACCGAAGTAACCTGATGTATACATAAATGTCAAGGATATGACATTTAACGACCATGCCAATATTTGGCAGTTGACAGTTTTTTACTAGGTTTTCTATGTTAATAAACTATCGTCACTTACAAATATTTCACTAATCAGTATTGACGTGCACGATTTTGATGATGAAGAATTTGAAAAAATTATCGGTGAAAACATTGAAGAGTTTTATTGCTTTTGTAAATCTGAAACTTGTTCAATAGAAAAGATAAAGGCTGTACGGTGACCTATAGTTGTAAACTTCTATGTCATTTGGTCTCTGGTGGAGAGTAGTCTCATTGGCAATCATATCACATCTTCTAATTATACGACCGCAAAAATTGAAAATTTTTTGGTCGTATATTGGTATGACGTTGGCGTCGTCGTCGTCGTCCGAAGACACATTGGTTTTCGCACTCTAACTTTAGTTTAAGTGAATGGATCTCCATGAAATTTTACCATAAGGTTCAATACCACGAAAGGAAGGTTGGGATTGATTTTGGGGGTTATGGTACCAACAGTTAAGGAATTAGGGGCCAAAAATAAGCATTTTTGTAACTTCCAGACAATAACTTGTGTGTAAGTGTATGGATCTCTCTGACATTGTACCACAAGGTTCCATATCACAAAGGGAAGGCTGTAATTGATTTTGGGGGTAATTGCCTCAAAATTTTAGGAATTAGGGGCCAAAAAAGGGGCAAAAAACAAGCATTTTTCTAGTTTCATGACAATAACTTGTGTGTAAGTGTTTGGATATTTCTGAAATTGTACTACAAGGTTCAATATCACAAAGGGAAAGCTGGAATTGAGTTTGGGGGTAATTGCCCGAAACGTTTAGGAATTGGGGGCCAAAAAGGGGCCAAAAATAAGCATTTTTCTAGTTTCCAGACAATAACTTGTGTTCAAGTGTATGGATCTCTCTGAAATTGTACTGCAAGGTACCATACCACAAAGGGAAGGCTGGGATTGAGTTTGGGGGTGATGAATCATAAGGGGGTTCAAAAAATTTGGGGGGGGGGGGGATTCTTTTTTTTTTCTTTTAAAATTTTCCATTTTTAGTTGGTTATTTCTGATTAATATTTAAAAGCAAATAATAATGATATGGTAGGAGATACACACCAAACAGGATGTGTAAATTATTATATAATAAGTATTGTGCAATAGCAAGAAATTTTCAATTGCACAGTATTGCACAATTGCAAGAAATCTTCAATTGCACAGTATTGCACAATAGCAAGAAATCTTCAATTGCACAGTATTGCGCAATAGCAAGAAATATCCAATAGCACAATATTGCGCAATAGCAAGAAATTGTCAATTGTACAGTATTGCACAATAGCAAGAAATATTCAATTGCACAGTATTGTGCAAAAGAAGATACTTCGTATAAATTGCTTATTTCTTGATCAATTTCAATGGGGTTTTATTCTTGAATTCTTGGGGTTCTTTAATCCGTGTATTAAGTTTTTGGATTTTGGGCCCCGTTTTTAAATTGGTCCACATTGAGGTCCAAAGGGTCCAAAATTTAACTTTGTTTGATTTCATCAAAAATTGAATTATTGGGGTTCTTTGATATGCCGAATCTAACCGTGTATTTAGATTCTTAATTTTTGGTTCCGTTTTCAAATTGGTCTACATTAAGGTCAAAAGGGTCCAAAATTAAACTTAGTTTGATTTTAACAAAAATTGAATTTTTAGGGTTCTTTGATATGCTGAATCTAAACATGTATTTAGATTTTTGATTATGGGCCCAGTTTTCAAGTTGGTCCAAATCGGGGTCCAAAATTAAACTTTGTTTGATTTCAACAAAAATTGAATATATGGGGTTCTTTGATATGCTGAATCTATCCATGTATTTAGATTTTTGATTTTTGGGCCCCATTATCAACTTTGTCCACATTGAGGTCAAAAGGGTCCAAAATTAAACTTTGTTTGATTTCATCAAAAATTGAATTCTTGGGGTTCTTTGATATGCTGAATCTAACCATGTATTTAGATTTTTTATTTGTGGACCTGCTATCAAATTGGTTCATATTGAGGTCAAAAGGGTCCAAAATTAAACTTTGTTTGATTTCATCAAAAATTGAATTATTGGGGTTCTTTGATATGCTGAATCTAACCATGTATTTAGATTTTTGATTTTTGGGCCCCGTTATCAACTTTGTCCACATTGAGGTCAAAAGGGTCCAAAATTAAACTTTGTTTGATTTCATCAAAAATTGAATTCTTGGGGTTCTTTGATATGCTGAATCTAACCATGTATTTAGATTTTTTATTTGTGGACCCGCTATCAAATTGGTTCATATTGAGGTCAAAAGGGTCCAAAATTAAACTTTGTTTGATTTCATCAAAAATTGAATTATTGGGGTTCTTTGATATGCCAAATCTAACCGTGTATTTAGATTTTTAATTTTGGGTCCTGTTTTTTAAATTGGTCTACATTAAGGTCCAAAGGGTCCAAAATTAAACTTAGTTTGATTTTAACAAAAATTGAATTTTTGGGGTTCTTTGATATGCTGAATCTAAACATGTGTTTAGATTTTTGATTATGGGACCAGTTTTCAAGTTGGTCCAAGTTGGGGTCCAAAATTAAACTTTGTTTGATTTCAACAAAAATTGAATATATGGGGTTCTTTGATATGCTTGAATCTAAACATGTTTTTAGATTTTAGATTTTTGGCCCAGTTTTCAAGTTGGTCCAAATTGGGGTCCAAAATTAAACTTTGTTTGATTTCAACAAAAATTGAATATATGGGGTTCTTTGATATGCTGAATCTTACCATGTATTTAGATTTTTTATTTTGTGGGCCCGCTATCAAATTGGTTCATATTGAGGTCAAAAGGGTCCAAAATTAAACTTTGTTTGATTTCATCAAAAATTGAATTATTGGGGTTCTTTGATATGCCAAATCTAACCGTGTTTTTAGATTTTTAATTTTGGGTCCCGTTTTTTAAATTGGTCTACATTAAGGTCCAAAGGGTCCAAAATTAAACTTAGTTTGATTTTAACAAAAATTGAATTCTTGGGGTACTTTGATATGCTGAATCTAAACATGTGTTTAGATTTTTGATTATGGGACCAGTTTTCAAGTTTGTCCAAGTTGGGGTCCAAAATTAAACTTTGTTTGATTTCAACAAAAATTGAATATATGGGTTCTTTGATATGCTGAATCTAGCCATGTATTTTGATTTTGGACATTGGACCATAATAGGTAAATTAAAAAAATTGAAGTTCTTAGACCACATTCTTTCTGTGTCAGAAACCTATGCTGTGTCAAATATTTAATCACAATCCAAATTCAGAGCTGTATCAAGCTTGAATGTTGTGTCCATACTTGCCCCAACTGTTCAGGGTTCGACCTCTGCGGTCGTATCAAGCTGCGCCCAGCGAAGCATTTTATTTTTATATTGAATTCTAATAAATTTCTATTGTAAGGAAACACATCATGAGTTGTAATCTGCATGTATAATTGAGGTTTACTGCTAACTTTGACAAATATCTTGTCGCATTAGTTACTGAAAGTCCGATGTCAAATATTTCATGCATTTCAACAAAAACAAAATATTATAAATTTCTAAACAAACGCTGCAAGATGTTTCAGATATGTTAAGCCTTTACAAATACATTTAATTCTAAACTGGTTAATTCTAATGATAAAATTTTAAGAATATACTGCTTAGGACCCAGCATTATGATAGTTCTTTAAATGCATCGATATATTTAAAATTAAGCCATTTTTTCCCAAAACAAGTCCGTCAGACATCAGAGCAATCTCGGACTAGGTTGAAGGTTGTTTTAAACTTTTGAATTTATTCAAAAGGTGTACATGTAATCGGTGTTATAACCTGATACATGCTATATGAAGAGGCCATCACGTGCGTATAATTATCCACCTCTCTTAGTGTTTAAAACATTTTCTATAAATATGTTAAATTACATTTTATGATATTTTACGATAGAGAAAACCATAAATATTTGTGTTACACTCGATTAAAGTTTTCAATCTTTAACTTAAAATTTGAGTTATCCGGCACCATCCGGCACACTACACGCGCATCACATTATTTTCTGCAAACAGTCTACTTCAGAGTCATGTAATTTTCATAACCGGATATTTCCCGATTTCCTAGTTCCAGTGATAAAAACATATCAAACAAAACTAAAAATAATATTACCTTCTTTCCGAATACAGTTAACTTTCTTTTGTCATTCTGTTAAATATGGACCGATTTTTTAGATTGTTTCAGCTGTAGTCTTTAATTATTGAACAGAAACAGGTGTCGTTATTCATGTAGCGATTCGCAATTAGCCACGGGAGTTTCCGTGTTAATTTACATTGGTAGGTAGATAAGACCTTCGATAACAGATCACGTGATAAGATCAGTTTCTATAAACTATACAGGCGAAGGCGGCATCGCAGATACCCCACAAAGGAGTTATCACGTACTTGAAAAACTGAGTCGGAACCTTTTATTTTCCTTAAGAAATCAGTGGGATGCGAATGTGCTAATTTTTCGTTGGAGTTCCTGTCAATATAATACTTCCATGATCTAACCATGTATTTTTGATTTTTGGGCCCCGTTATCAAATTGGTCCACATTGAGGTAAAAAGGGTCCAAACTTAAACTTTGTTTGATTTCATCAAAAATTGAATTCTTTGGATTCTTTAATTTGATATGCTGAATCTAACAATGTATTTAGATTTTGGATATTGGACCATAATAGGTAAATTAACAAATTTTAAGTTCTTAGACCACATTCATTCTGTGTCAGAAACCTATGCTGTGTCAAATATTTAATCACAATTCAAATTCAGAGCTATATCAAGCTTGAATGTTGTGTCAATACTTGCCCCAACTGTTCAGGGTTCGACCTCTGCGGTCGTATCAAGCTGCGCCCAGCGGAACATTTTCTTGTGTTTTGGTCTGTTTTTCTTAAACTATAACCAATAGGTCAACTATATTTGTACATAAATGTAGTATGGAATGATTGTATGGTGTATATGTCTGTCTGGCAGGTATCATCTGACCTTGCAGGGCTCGACATTACCTTTGTCCCATTGTCCGGGACAAGTGGACACAGGCGTCGGGCAAGTAGATTCACCATACTACTTGTCCGATGGGGCAAGTGAAAAATCGATGTCAGATGTAAAATATATCAAATTCAAGACTTATTAATTCCAAAAAAATTGAATGATTGTTTTATTGATCATACAAAATGAATTAAATATCCATTGATTGAACGTATTTGAACATGCTGGCAGCCATTGACCAGGGGAATATAAGTAAGTGGGAAGGAAACCAATGTTAATTCTTCTTCATAGTATAAGCCTCCTTGAATTGGGAGCACCTCCATATGGAGTTTTACCTTAAATTTAAAAGCTCGAATTAAAGTATGTTTCATTTGATTTTGTTTTTATGCATGACATTACATTAAAAGAGGTTTTATTCAATAAGATCTATATATTATCAAAATAATAGGTTAAGATGTAAAAATTAAATAAAATCTAAATAGGCAGATTTTCTCAGTGAAATTTTGTTTGACTTCATGATCAAGTATCAATGTATATAAAGATCAAAATAAAATTTATAATAGCTTGTTTTGCCGCCATCAATAAATTAAAAAGATTTAATTATATACAAAGTGGCCAGGTATATTTACATCTTTGGTTTAACCTTACCACTACTAGAAGAATGAATAGGTCCATATAGGAGAACCTAGTGATTTGGGAAGTGATGATGATTTAATGATCGACACATGATAGTGACATTCAGTCAGAGAACTCAGTCTTGCAAATAATCTTTCAGTCTTAAATAATAAAATGAATTTTGAGGTGGTATTCTTTAATCATTGTTAATTACTGAGTAACAAACAAATTCATATAACATAACAAAATGCTCCCTTCATTAGGTACAATCAAAGCTCAAGTGTTATAAGGGCATATCATCAATATGTAAGATTTTCAATTATGAATTCGGACAGGTTGATTTTCTTGCAACTTGTCCGAAGGGACAAGTTAAAAAAAATGATATTGTAGAGGCCTGCCTTGACCTCATTTTCATGGTTCATTGGTCAATGTTAAGTTTTCATAGTTAAGTTTGTTTCTTAGATACGATAAGCAATAGGTCAACTATATTTAATGCATAGATTGATTGTATAAGCAATAGGTCAACTATATTTGGTGTATTGATGATTTTAAGGTGTACATGTATTTCCAGTTTGGTTTATCTGACCTTGACCTCATTTCTTGGATCACGTGAAGTTTATGTGATACTTTTAGTAAAGCTTTATATTTAGGACTATCAACATAAAATCAATGGTCAGTAAAGAAGGCGAGACATTTCAGTGTGTGCACTCTTGATTATTTTGGGTACAGTTTTCAAGTAGGTCCAAATCAGGGTCCAAAATTAATTTTTTTTTTATTTCAACAAAAATTGAATTATTGGAGTTCTTTGATATGCCAAATCTACATTTACCTGGTAATTAGATTTGGATTTTGGTCCTGTTATCAAATTGGTACTCATTGAGGTCCAAAGGGTCCAAAATTTAACTTGTGTTTGATTTCATCAAAAACGAAATTCTTGGGGTCTTTGATATGCTGAATCTTACCATGTATTTAGACTTTGGATATTGGACCATTATAGGTACATGTAAATATCCAATTTCAAATTTTTAAGTTCTTAGACCACATTCATTCTGCGTCAGAAACCTATGCTGTGTCAAATTTTTAATCACAATCCAAATTCAGAGCTGTACATGTATCAAGCTTGATTGTTGTGTCCATACGTGCCCAAACAATCCAGGGTTCGACTTCTGCTGTCCTATCAAGCTGCACCCTAGGAGCATATATTAAATTTTAATATATTGAAACTAATGGCAAAATGGAGGTTAAGTATGATATTGTCGATTTTTACTTTTACCGTTCAGGGGTTATGGTCCTTGATCTATTGGAAAATAGACAATTTTTGTAGGTTCTGTGCAATTACTTATGAACTACTTGACCAATGCTTTTAAAATTTAATATGTTGTTACTGTTGAAAGAAGGGTGGTCAATTTGGTTAATTGTTGATTTTCACTTCTGCTGATCCGTGACTAATGGTTCTTGATAGATTGAAAAATGGCACTTTACATGTATGTTGTTTCTGTGCAATAAATTATGAACCGTTCAATCAATGAACGTTTTGATATGCGGTTCCTGAAGTCAGAATAGTGGTCAAATTTTGTATTGACAATTTTTCTTTTTGCCGTTTAGGAGTTATGGTCCTTGATAGATTGAAAAAAGGCATAGAATGTGACGGGTGAATAAAACCTTTCAAAATACAGAAAAAACCCAGTTTTCTGTCAATTTGACGGATGATTCCTTTTGCCTTTGAATCATGTCTCAAGAAGGTACAATGTACAATGGATCTATCTGATTGATTTAATAATATGCACCTGTAACTCCCTTTATTCATAATTTGAGGCTTTTACACACATACTATTGGTACAAGTAATGGGACTCTAATCTGTTCTTGCATATCTTTAGAATATTTGATATAGGGTCCAGGTGGGTGAATTTGAACACTCAACAGGATTTCAGGTTACTTTTCATCATTTAAAGATATACCAGAATGTACAACGTGTACATTGTATATGAAGTTTAACACAGTTTACATATTTCATGGATGATGAACAAATATGATAGTTTGTGTAAATCTGACCTAGATAGTGTATTTAAATTCAAGAATGTTGTCCTTCTAGTACATTATTAATTGTTCTTATTTTATCCTGAGGAAAAGTTTCAGATTGAAATAAATTGTATTTTGGCAGTAATGCACAAATGAATGCATGTACAAATTGGAAGAACACCACCATAATGTCCTTGAGAAAAATGTAATTTATTTTGTACTTTACAGTCTCTCACAATATCTCATCCCAACTCTTACTTTATTGGCATTTCATCTGTCAACTCCTTTTAGGAATTATTGCCCTTCAATGATGATTCTACCTATTTTTGGCCAGGTTGAACTTGGCCGGATGCATTAGGACCCAAAACGGGCATCTAGTATCACACCTTATAATTGGCTATCACTAGGACATATGCAATACATGTAGGTAACACAGATAAAAATTTGCTGCACAGGTTAGCAAAATCCATTGTATTGTAAAGGCAATCTCAAACCTAGACAAAAAATGTGTTTTATCCCATTACCAAAACAGTTGTTTTTAATATCAATTAGGAACACAGGTCCTATTGTATCTGCAAAAAGATAGCCAGTAATAAGGTGTCTGACTTGTGGGGGAAAATTCATACCTTTTTTGTGTAATCAACTCCTCTTAAAGTTTTCAACCTAGATCCCTGAAACTTCCTAGAAAGATTGCATATTGAAATTGTTCACTTTCTATTATGGAATACTAGTAGATGAGGATTTTTTTCTCTCATTTTCCATACTTACATGTAGGAACTAAGTCATTCACTCATTGTTCAGCAAAATTTGCACAACAGCAAAGTGTATTGCTCAAAAGCAAAAATTTGAATATAAATTCAAATCATATAACCAATTCTAAGTTCTTTGAATACAGTTCTTCTGTGTCAGAAGCCTTTTATGTGTCCAATATTTAATTACAATCCAAATTCAGACCTGTATCAATCACGAATATTGCGTCCATTTTTACCCCAACTGTTCAGGGTTTGACCTCTGCGGTCGTATCCAGCTGCGCTCTGCGAAGCAATTTATTTTCACCTTACTGTAACTCTGATACTGGTTAAATCATGAGCCCAGTAAATTTGATTTCACTGTCAATTGTATTTTTTCACTATACAATATAAATATAAGAAGATGTGGTATGATTGCCAATGAGACAACTTTCCAAATGACATAGAAATCAGTTAATCTACAGGATGATGACTGTAGCAAAATGGAAGTAATTAAAAGGGAAATTCCAATTATAATAAGGTTGTTTTAAGTCAGAGTTCTCGAAAAGGGGTGGTCTGAAGGTTTTGACCATCAAAATTTTCCAAAGATCTGACACAATTTTGGTATTTTGCAATAGGATCAATAGTGAGGAACACTAGATTTTTTTTCGATGACTACCAGGAAAAAAAGATTTTGAGAACTCTGTTTAGTAATATTTGGGGAATTGAAGTGGCAGATTAGAGATAAATATACATGTACAATTGAAAAAATTATTTACAATTCAAAGCTGTGACATGAATCATTCTGCTATAACATCTCTGAAATAAAAAGAGAACAACAAATTCGCCATATTTTTATAGCCCCACAACGATATTGTCTGGGCTATATAGTTTTACCCTTATCCGTCATTCAGCAACGAACAGTTATAGGGACTCTTTTCTAAACATATTGAGCTGATTTGTAGTACATGAGTCTACTATGATGAGTTACAGATTGAGTTTACTTTTGGTATTGCTCCACTGATTTGTGCACATTGTTGGCGTCCGGCGTCGTTGTCGTCCAAAGACACATCGGTTTTCACACAATAACTTTAGTTTTAGTGAATGGATCTCTTTGAAATTTTACCATAAGGTTCAGTACCACAAAAGGAAGGTTGGGATTGATTTTGGGGGTTATGGTACCAACAGTTAAGGAATAAGGGGCCAAAAATAAGCATTTTTGTAACTTCCAGACAATAACTTGTGTGTTAGTGTATGGATCTCTCTGACATTGTACCACAAGGTTCCATATATAATCACAAAGGGAATGCTGGGATTGATTTTGGGGGTAATTGCCTCAAAATTTTAGGAATTAGGGGCCAAAAAAGGGGCTAAAAACAAGCATTTTTCTAGTTTCATGACAATAACTTGTATGTAAGTGTATAGATCTTTCTGAAATTGTACTACAAAGTTCCATATCACAAAGGGAAAGCTGGAATTGAGTTTGGGGGTAATTGCCCTAAACGTTTAGGAATAAAGGGCCAAAAATCAGCATTTTTGTCGAGCCTGCGACTTTTGTCGCAGAAAGCTCGACATAGGGATAGTGATCTGGTGGCAGCGTTAGCTAACTTCTTTAAAGCTTTATATTTTAGAAGCTAGAAGACCTGGATGCTTCATACTTTGTATATAGATGCCTTATGTTACGAAGTTTCCGTCTGTCATATGTCCATTGTCCTTGACCTCATTTTCATGGTTCAGTAAAATTGAGAATGGAATATTTTTTGTAATGTTAATTTCTTTCTTATTATGAGTAATAGGATAACTATATTTGGTATGGGCATACCTTGCAAGGTCCTCATGCCCGTCAGACAATTTTCATTTGACCTCTACCTCATTTCATGGATCAGTGAACAAGGTTAAGTTTAGTGGTCAAGTCCATATATCAGATACTATAAACAGTAGGTCTACTATATTTGGTATATGGAATGATTGTAAGGTATACATGTCCAACTGGTAGGTGTCATCTGACCTTGACCTCATTTTCATGAATTTGTAATTGCCTCAAAATTTTAGGAATTAGGGGCCAAAAAGGGGCAAAAAAACAGCATTTTTCTAGATTCAGGACAATAACTTGTGTGTAAGTGTATGGATCTTTATGAAATTGTACTAAAAAGTTCCATATCACAAAGGGAAAGCTGGGTTTGAGTTTGGGGGTAATTGCTGTAAACGTTTAGGAATTTGGGGCCAAAAAACAAGCATTTTTCCAGTTTCCAGACAATAACTTGTGTTCAAGTGTATGGATCTCTCTGAAATTGTACTGCAAGGTACCATACAACAAAGGGAAGGCTGGGATTGAGTTTCGGGGTGATGAATCATAAGGGGGTTCAAAAAATTTGGGGGAGGGATTTTTTTTTTCTTTAAAATTTTCCATTTTAGATTGGTTATTTCTGATTTATATATAAAAGCAAATAATAATGATATGGTTTGAATAGGTAAATTAAAAAAATTTAAGTTCTTAGACCACATTCATTCTGTGTCAGAAACCTATGCTGTGTCAAATATTTGATCACAATCCAAATTCAGTGCTGTATCAAGCTTGAATGTTGTGTCCATACTTGCCCCAACTGTTCAGGGTTCGACCTCTGCGGTCGTATCTAGCTGCGCCCAGCAGAGCATTTTATTGATTTATATATAAAAGCAAATAATAATGATATGGTTTGATTTCATCAAAAATTGAAATATTGGGGTTCTTAGATATGCTGAATCTAACCGTGTATTTAGATTCTTAATTTTTGGTCCCGTTTTCAAATTGGTCTACATTAAGGTCCAAAGGGTCCAAAATTAAACTTAGTTTGATTTTAACAAAGATTGAATTCTTGGGGTTCTTTGATATGCTGAATCTAACTGTGTATGTATTTAGATTTTGGATATTGGACCATAATAGGTAAATTAAAATTTGTTAAGTTCTTAGACCACATTCATTCTGTGTCAGAAACCTATGCTGTGTCAAATATTTAATCACAATCCAAATTCAGAGCTGTATCAAGCTTGAATGTTGTGTCCATACTTGCTCCAACTGTTCAGGGTTCGACCTCTGCGGTCGTATCAAGCTGCGCCCAGCGGAGCATTTTATTTCTATTGTTCAGACCTATATGACATGACTGTCGAACCATTTGTCTGACAGAAACTCAAACAGTTTGGCACAAACTGTTATGGAATTGTTATATGAAATTTTTTCCACTTTCCATCCTTGCCTACTCACACATGACTTTTTAAAATTAATTTTGCAGGTTTTTTTTTTAAAATAGTACATGTACCAAATTTTGTTTTCAATTCAATTCAACACAAATATTCTTGTTGTAGTGAATCGGTTTTATGTCAAAAAATATCAGGGGAACAATACAGATACAGGCTCCTTTGAGCCTTTAGTTTTTCTGTAATGAGGAAAACATGGGAGTTCAAACATTTTGGGACAAAAATACTGACATGTAAAGAACAATACCCATCTTTCCCCACAGAGCTACAAAGCTCTTTGATGGTAATAACAGTATACTTCCTAGTTATGCCTATGATGAATTTTAACGACAATATAAAACATAACTGTTCAGCACTCTCACCTGCAAATAAGGAATATAACAAGGGTAAAAAATTTAAGAATTCCTGTTAGTGATGTCAGGGTTGTGGAGCTGCCCTGATGAATTTAGAATACTATAACTAGGCTCTAATGGTCCCTTATTTTGTGGTTCCATTGCACAAGGATGGAAACGTCACAAAAACAATGAGTAGACAGTAACTGCTTTGATAGGATATGGTTATCTAAACTTTGAAATCATGTCATCTTCGTATACACATGTATGTACTTTGACAGAAATTTATTAAATTATAAGTTAAATAGTTTTTTTATGACATTTTTCATGTTTTAAATATGTTGCTTTCTGCAATAAAGTATTCATTCATTCATTTCGTACAATTGATAGACAAGAAGTGATTGTGTGTTGGACTGGGATAGCATGATTGTAATTGGTCAAGTCATAGCAGGTCCCACACACATACTAATTCATGGCCTTTTATATCTTTAAACCCCTCAGTAATTGTTTAAACAGAAGATTTGTATCTCACCTTTTCTTTTGTATATTAGAAGAACAACTTGTTTTATTTATATGGACTAATCGCCTGACAGAGGTTGTATTTAATAGTCCTATTTGTGTTGTACTGAGTACTTGAAAACAAATTGTATCCAGTCAGAGATCAAATATTACCTTTGCTAAAGTTACAGATGCAAATTCATTGCCATGAAAATTAGCTAAGGAGAACTTAGATAACTTAGATAATTGGGATTTTGATTTATTATTCAATCTCTTTCTGTATTTGTAAAGATTACCATAGCTATATTTGGCAATACCTTTTGGAATGTTGGGTACTGAATGCTCTTCAATTTTGAACTTGTTTTGGCCTTTTAAATGTTTTGATTCAGCATCACTGGTGAGTCTTTTCTAGAAGAACCACGTCTGGTGTACTAAACTATAAATAAGAAGATGTGGTATGAGTGCCAATGAGACAACTATCCATCCAAGTCACAATGTGTAAAAAGTAAACAATTATAGGTCAAAGTACGGCCTTCAACACGGAGACTTGGCTCACACGGAACAGCAAGCAATGTAATGATTATATAAGAAAGTTTATATAATGTTCATAGCTAAATGATATTTTTTTCTTTGGACAGAAGTGTACTATTGAAAGATGATTATCTAAAAGCCTAAATATAGCTAGCATATATATACCAACAGATTTATTTTTTAATGATTTTAATACAAAAAAAATCACAGCATTGTCATGGAAGTTTTTACAAACGTATGATTATTTCATTTACTTGTATATTTTTGTGTATACAGAAATGAGAAATTTGCAATTCAGACATTCTGATGTTGAGATCTCAGAAAACATGTTTAACCCCGCCACATTTTTGCACCTGTCCCAAGTCAGGAGCCTCTGGCCTTTGTTAGTCTCGTATGTTTTTTAATTTTAGTTCATTTATATGTTTTGGAGTTAAGTGTGATGTCCATTTTCACTGAACTAGTACACATTTTTGTATAGGGGCCAGCTGAAGTCCACCTACAGGTGCAGGATTTTCTCGCTGTGTTGAAGACCTATTGGTGGCCTTAGACTGTTTTCTGCTCTTTGGTCGGGTTGTTGTCTCTTTGACACATTCCCCATTTCCATTCTAAATTTTATTGACCTAAGTATAATTATTACTCTTGAACTACAAATTAGGTTTCAACCTCTGCCCCAAATATCCTGTTATTTAATCTACCAGCACAATTGCTGTCCATACTTGCAGTGGATATCTGTTTGATACCTATTTCAGTTACATGTAGGTTCCATCAACCTAAGGCAGTTTGTTGTTATGTTCTGCAGATTTCTGATTTCAGAAGCAGTTTGAATTCAAATTCAAAGTTTAAAGATTTCAAATATCTTAAAAAATTGCAATTTTAGAAGTATGAGCTGTCTTCTTGGCCTACACAGTAGAGAGGTCTTGATTTTCTGAAAACCGCCTTAAGTCATGGGGAAAAGGACTAATTAATGTATTAAGCTTCTGTTCAAATACTCTGGTTGTTTATACAGGCTATTGCAAATTTCACCAATAAGCATACCTGGGTCCTGTGAGTGAAGAATTTGCTGAAAATTAATGTTCTTTTTATAGTAAGCCAAACTTTTGGGCATGATCATGCCCTGCAACCTCCATCTCCTCCAAACTGTGTCGTGATTTTCAATGTTAGCTAGCTTTATAGTATCAGAAGGCATCGGGGAGGTATACATGCATGTACATGTAGTTCTTATAAATTGCATATAATTTTCATATTTTTGCCCTAAAAAAACTTAGCATTTCCTCATGGCAAGATGTAAGTCATATTTAGAATTATAAATAATAGTGGCATAAGGTTGGTCTTTGAAATCAATGAAACAAGTGATGAAATGGTATACACTTATTTATTGACAAGTTTTTAATTTTAACATATATGTACATGGTTGAGCTGTCAAAATGGACAAGAGTTTTATGAGATCAATCAAATACTTGTAATGACTAATGCTTTCCTGTGTGTTGTCAGTGATAAAGTTATAAATAGATAACAAATTCAGGATATATTTGCACTTCCTGTGATTGAAGGCTAAATAATTGAGAGCTTACCTTAGTTATAGCATCTGTTGTAAAAGGAAAATAAACAAACACTTGTAGAAGATGGAAGCATTTTTTTTTCTTTAAATTTTCTTATGCATGAAAAATTATTAATTAAATTAATGCACCAAGGCTTTAGATAAGGGTTACTGATGGCTGCAAACTAAGCATGGTACATTTATGTTTTACAAATTTGTTGAAAAAAATGAGGATATGATCTGTAACAATTTTGTATATATGATCTAAATGATAAGCTTCAGGTCTCATAAACTAAGAAATGGAGGCCATATTTTAATTACAGTCTTCCAAGTTTTCATCTTGTTTGCGCTTCTGGCTCCTGGTAAAAATTAATATTAAATACAAGTTATACAATTTTATATCATCAGAGTACAACAAGGATTTACCAATGAACAACTTAATTAAACTGATAATTATATTTATTCAGAAATATTTTGAACCAATTAGTGTCTCCGTGGAAGGATTTTGGTCTGCCTGATTTAAGCTTTAAGAGAAGCATTTTGTTTCCATTGTTGCTTTTTTTTTTATTTTGCATAATAAATTGTATCATGGTATTATTTAGTGTGTAATATGTGCTAGTAATATGGACAATTTTACACTTTAATTTTAACATCAGAAAATTCTTATTTCCAGAGTATTATGCTAGTTTTCCAGAAATTTGAGAAAATTATGAGGATGAAATATCAGTTGTTTAACTCTTATCTTCTTTATCTACAGGTTGCTATAAAGATAATTGATAAAACTCAGTTGAACCCATCAAGTTTACAGAAGGTAAATATTTTACAGTTGTTTAGATGTTAGTACTCTCTGTAGATGTAATCTACTATTACACAAGCACATTTGTAAAAGATGACTATATGCATGTATTTACATGTACCTGTATATTTAACCCAATGTCAAAAATTTCAAGAAATCCAAAAGACCTTAGGAAAAATGAAATATATTCAAAATTTCAATGCTTTCTATTTTATAATATTATTTGGAAATTTGCCTTTGTCCTTCATATTAATTATAAGGTGAAATTTTTTTTCTGAATGGTAGAAATAATTGGCATCTTACCACTCCAACAAACAAAGTTATGAGATATAATACATTGTATGCTAGAAATTAAGACTAATAAAAGTTGTGTAATTATTATTGGAAGAGCATAGGTACTATTACACATGGTTTTGATAATGGAAGATATATATTTTTATTTATATATATTTCATGTGAATACTGCACTTTTCCATAACTCTCCATTTGATAAAGAAAAGAATTTTTTTCTCTTGCATTTTGTATAAATTCATATAGACATTCTATTAGCTTATGTCACTTGTAACAGATGTGATTTGAAATTGATCATACAAAGAATGAGAAATATTTTAACTATTGTTTTGTTATATTTAGCATGTAAGCATATTTTTGAAGTGACAGTACTGGAAAGTAAATAATATGTATTAGAAATCAAGTTGGTTTATCGGTTAAATTTTAGCCTGTCCAGTTCTGTTCAACTTAGTTTTTTCAAGATACAAAAGGGAGTTCAGGAAAAAAAGTTTTTATTTTTAAATCTAGAATTTTTACGAAGAATGATGTTCAACAGGAAAAAGCAATTTCAACTAAAAGTTGACTTATAAATACATGTAAAAGGAGTCAGTCTGTTCATCAGAAAGTTTAAAAAATGAAAAAAACAATTATAAATTTAAAACAGCAATGTAAATTTTATTTTCATATACATGTTAATCATTCAACATGTATTTCTAATATAATTGATGTTTCGAGATGAATCATATTATTCATATACATGTGCAATGGTTTTGTTAGCCCAATTTGGAAGGGTTTTGCACCTTTGATGCCCTCAGCAGTGTTTATAACCTTAAATCCAAATACCCTCTTATCACATCACTATTATTGATAACACTTGCTAGGTGTTGGGTGCTAAATACAAATAATTTAAAGAAGATAACAAATTTTACCTAAGTTCAAATTTGTGAAATTGTCAAAAATATGCACTTGATAGGCAACTCCTGTAAAGATTTTCTCCTTGGTCAAGACTTAATTCTATTTTTGAAACAACCAATGAAAAAACTTATTCTCATAATACACATTTCTGAAAAAACCAAGATAAAAGATTATTGAAAGTTTTTGGAGTTGAGAACATAATGGAACTAGAATTTAAGATAAACTAGGATGACAGTTTGTCAATCATTGAACCTGTTTAAGTTTATAGTCAAGATGGAAATGCAGTAGCATTTTTTTTTTAATATTGTTTAACTGAATTCAACATCACCAGAGTCTTCAGAATTGTTCCCCCTTTGGACACAAGGATATCCACAGCCACCATTTCCTGGTGAAAAGCCACATCCACAATTTTTCCCTGGTGACAAGCCACCTGCTGAAGAAGAGTTTGGTGACAAATATATACCTGAACTAAGAATGTGAAACTACGGAAATTTGACAGAAGTCCACTCAAAGCTTTAAGTTTTATTATAAATATTTGTTATAAATAACTGTTTTTTATTTAAAACTCCATCACTAGTTATTTCACTTGATCAAGATCACTGCTATACACAATGAAAAAAATGTTTGCAGGTTACAACTAGAATTTTAAAATCTGTTTTAGACTATGGTGCTCTTTTATGGAAGGAAAAATATTATCAGTTTTTTAAGATCAAATCTTCGTTTTCAGGGTCAAAATTTGCATTATATGTAAATAATGGATCTTTTTTGAAACTATGGTTATTAAAGGATTGCCTCCTTTTCATGTTACATGATTTATTTATTTATTTACTAAAGGCCTCACTGTGACTTTGAGATGAAGAACAGCAAGAAAATGCTGTTCCTTATACTGATTATGTGTCATGGATGGATAACCCATATCCTTTCTTTTCTATAAAGTGCTGATTTCAGTTAAACATGTTTTTGATGTGTGCCCTGCTTCCAGAAACTTATGTTATCAATCAAATTATTATATATATATATGTTGTTTGTGCTGTATTTAGACCCCTCTTCCAAGAAATTTGTTTTTGCATGCACACGTATAAAAATTGCAGTTTTTATCCAACGCAATCATAGGTTTGAATGTTGTTTTCAATTTAGACTTATTTTACATATACGAAGTTATTGTGTATACATTTACCTGCATACAAATTAAGTCATTTTTTTCCCTCCTATTTTAGCTATTTCGTGAAGTCAGAATCATGAAGATGTTGGATCACCCGAATATAGGTAGGTGCTGATTTAAAAAAAAACCAAATTCATATTTATTTGATGACTCATTATGGCTTTAAAATACCAATTTTTGTTTTGTGTGTTTGCAAGAAGAATGATAAGTTCCCCTAGAAACACTGTCACTGTATGAAAATTACTTAAGAGGAAGAAATTTTTTTAATGTAAATTTTCAAAAATAATGAATAGGTGATCACTGCCAATTTGCTAACAAATGTCCTGTGTCATTACTGCATGATATTCTAAAATATTAATATCTAATCTTGCTTTAAATTATGAATTTCTTTCAAAAGATCTCAATTAGGTTTGAATTTATAAAATAGACCCTGCTCCTCTTTAGTACAGTGCATATTATTTATTTCAAGTGACATATATTCTTTTTAAATTAAGATTTGTAGAAGGATTAATATCTTTCAACTCAATGGACATAATCATGATATATTTAATTCTTTTTTTCAGGTATTCCTTCCTTGTTAGAAATATATGAAATTAAAGTTCAGATTAAGTGATAATATGTAGTATTTTGTATATGTTTATAGATAACAGTGACTTATCCTTGTATCTTTTAAAAAACGTCCAGATATCATTGCAATAGTGTTCTTATTTTCATTGATAAATAGGAGTCAAAGTTATGGTTCTGCTAACATAAACTTTATTAACACTTCATTTAAATATTAATTGAAGATTTCCAATTAAAGTTTTTTTACTTTCAAAGAGAAGTTGCAATTTTGTAACAGTAAGTTGTAGTGGATGCTATTTTTTTAGTCCCCTACCGACGAAGTCAAAGGGGACTTTAGGTTTGCACTCCGTCCGTCTTTCCATCCGTCAGTCAGGCAAATCAGCTTTCCACACTTTTTTTCTTCGTTCTTGAAGATATTGATTTGATATTTGGTATATAGTTTTATCATGACAAGTTATAGATCAAGTTTCGAATTTTGTTCTGGTCTGATGATTGAGTCCAGCGTTATGGACCATAACTCTGGACCATATCTAATGTTAGAGTACTATGTTAAACCATATTTCTGTACAAAGGGAGATAACTCATTTTTTAAAAGACATTCTTTTGTTAAATTATTTGAAGAATTTTTTTGACAGGTTTGTTTGTTATTTAGTATAAACGAATTTTCTGAATGCTATATATATCCAAAAAAATTATGAAGAGAAATCCTTTAATTAGATAATAATCTATTTTTATTAATGTACATATTTCAATACATTACATTGTGTAGATAAAAGTTGTTGACATTTTATAGATAAGTTACAAATCTATATTAGTTTGTGACAAATGAAAGAAAAAAATATTTGGAACTATTAATTATATCTGATTATAATTTGAAATAGATATACACTGTATTACATCATATCTAATTCTAGAGAACTATTAATCATATCTAAGTGTAGATACCCTCACACTTTTTCAATGGAAAATCCAACAAACTATGGTACATTGTTTTTTTTCATCATGCTTAAAAGATATTGATTGATAATTGGTATATAGTTTTATGATGACAAGTTACAGATCAAGTTCAAATTTTTGTTTCTGTCTAATAATTTTGTGCAGAGTTATGGTCCTGTGACTTGAAAAATTCACTCATATAATCAGTTTTCAACACTGTTTTTAGTCATGCTTGAAGATATTGACATGATATTTACTTTTTGTCTACACCATGACAAGTTATAGAACAAGTTAGCATTTTGTTTCAGTATAATGAATTTTTACCTGGTAGGGGACTATGTATTGCCATGCAATACTCTCAGAATGCTTGTTATTTATGAGATTTTAAATATATAATTTTCTACATTTCAGTAAAATTATTTGAAGTGATACAAACAGAGAAGACATTATATTTAGTTATGGAGTATGCAAGTGGGGGTAAGTGTTACAACACTGTTTTATATCATATACTAAGCAAAGATATGTCTTTCGAAGATGAATGACTTTTAAAAAAAAGGGGATAAAACAAACATTTTCCAATGCTTTTCCAATGTACTCAGACTGATAACATCAGCCAAGCGGACATCTAGTGGTCTGACTATTATGGGCCACCAACCTGGGTGTCATACATCTGAAGTATATGATAAACACATTCATACATTAGCTGTCATACATGGCATTTTCCAAATTGGCCCTGTTATCATCCTTTGACCAAAAATGGACCCTGTACTAGCACCTCAAGTGATAAGCAGGCAGATATGAAATTGGCCATGTATTACTCTGTATTTATTGTACAGATCTAAGTAGAAAAATGGGATCATGGATTTTGATGCAGCTATGTGATAGCTTTTCAAGTATTATTTTAGCATATTCATCAGGAAGAGTACAGGCCCTTTGTTCAGCTTAATTTTTCAAAGGGTTGTGTATGTACAGCTCTAACTCCTGTTTTATACCTTTAAGTATTAGTATAAACACTGAAAGAATGGTAGCAGGGTTGAAAGTAAACTTGGCACAAAGAAAAGAAAATGTAAATACTTGTTAATCTATAATATGATGATTTCATGTCTGATGGATTGTAAATTTGAGAAGTTTTTACAAATTCATTATTTCTGTTGAAAAGGGGAGAAAATTGTAATAGAAGTAACTGTTCATTAAATAAATCTATAGACAATATATATATCTTGTTACTCATATTAATTCAAGTTAACATTGATATTCAAATTTATTTAAAATGTTTGATTTGTGGTCTTACATTGTTATAGAATTACATCTATGTGCATAGATACACTTATTAGTAAGAACAAGAAGAAATTAATACAAGTAAATTATACCAATGAATAAATAATGCAAATGACATTAAAGAAGCTTATTGTCCAATATATTAAAGAATTCTTTTTCTAATAGGCTTATCTGATAACTTCTGTAAAGTTTGACCGGCTTGTTGTTTTAATTTATAGTATAGGTTAATAGTTTGGTTTTAATATCATGAATACTCAATTTTTTAGGGGAGGTATAATTTATAGTATAGGTTAATAGTTTGGTTTTGATATCATAAATACTGAATTTTTTAGGGGAAGTATTTGACTACTTAGTAGCACATGGAAGAATGAAAGAGAAAGAAGCACGGTCCAAATTTAGACAAGTAAGAATTGATTATTGATTTTATTGATAGACAGTGCCAGGAATATTACTTCATCAGTTATGAATTTAATAAGTAAACAGCTGTTATGTAGACATGTTTTGCTGACTAAAGGTTAATTATTTATACAGAACAGATGAAGGTATTATCAGTATAAAATTGATTGTCTTTAAGAAAGTTATTCCTGAAGGTGTCCATACCATAAAAAAAAACTATGGTAATGTTAAAGAATATTTTGACTGTTAAACATACCTTTAGAGCTAATTTCCTAATGATATGACAATATAGATTGACTTTTAACTTGAGAATCTTAAATGGTGTTTCCCAAGTTTGCAGAGGAATTCCCAAAGTGAATGGTAGTCATGTAACAAAGCTTTCATTTACATCCTGGTCTTATAAGCAGTCATGTGATCAATTTCTTGGGGAATCCTGAAGATCAGTATAAAGTCAAAGACAGTATAAATTAGAATGTTAATTTCCAGTATACTGTGATGATAATTAAAGAAATGGAAGAAAAACCTTATATAATCAGACAATATATCTTCATTAAATTTGTTTGCAGACATTAATTATTTTGTGTCGTATAATAAGAGATTTGTATGTGGAAGTAAAAAAAAGTTGGGTCATTTATTATATTTATTAAAAATCATTGTTGATTTCATCACTGGAATAAAGATTGAACATGTTCTGTTTTGTCCTTTTTATGACTTGAAAGATAAGCCAAATCCTTGACCTTGAATATAGAACTGGATAAGTTTTGTATGCAAATCAATTAGACTGAACAAGTAGATGTGATAATATTTGATGAAGATAAACCATTATATGTGATGGTATTGATTTTGAATGTAACTTGCATAGGAGAATAGTTTCCTCTTCATGATCCAGGGAAGGCCATGTTTATAGCTAGTGACATCCAATTAATTGACATTAATACTGGCTCAACTTGTGGAACACTTCACCGTCATTGAGATATTTATATAGGGATGGAAGCATTGATTTACCATAAAGTATAACTAGAATGAAATTACAAAGAGATTAAATAAAACATAAAACAGTCAACATGTGTTGCTTTATCTATTGAATTATGAAATTCAGATTTTGTGAAAGTCATATTTGCTGTTGATATCAATTTTTGGCATGTCATCTTTAGGGTTTCTACAGATGCAATGCTTCATGAAAATTAAATCAAACAAAAAAGTATAAATGAGAATTTCCTTACAGGTTGATTGGATTAAAGAAAACAAGAGTTGGTTGAAAACTTGAGCATACATTTCATTAATAACAGTTCAGTCTTCCTTTAAAATATAAATATTTAAATTTAGTAATGATGATATGATGAGTTTAAAAACAAATCCACACCATTGCAAAATGCACAAAAACTAGCAATCCAATTTTATATACATGTAGATAATTGCCATACTTATTATAGATCATTATGCTATGGATTTTATCAATGTTTAATAATTGATGAAATGTTCTATAAGGATTCTGGGGTTGTCAGGTGATGAACTATTGTTAGATAATGTTTAATCTTTAGATGGAATAATTGGTTTTTACATCCATAGTTTTCACACAGAAAAGCAGAGGGCTTCTATAAATTTTACTGATCAGGCCAAAACAAAACATTTTTGTGTTTAGGGTTTCCCCACTCACTATAATTTTATTCCTCAAAATGCTTAACTTGGTGAACTTTTGGTAGTGAATCCTGACAAAATGTAAGGTCTTTCCCATATACTCAATAGTTGAAAGAAATTAAGTAAAAAAAAAAAATCCTTCAACCTTCTACATGTTCTGAAGGAGGAAATTTTAAAACACACAAATTGTTCTGTGACCTCATTGCCTTTTTCTAGTTTCAGGTAGTCTGTATGATATAAAAAATGTCACAGTATTTTTGTTTGACTGTATTTGAGAGGTGTATTATTACTTAATATAATACAATCTTGAAAGAATTAAAACCAATACAGATTTAATGCTGCATTTTTTTTTAATTTCAGATTGTTTCTGCAGTTCAGTATTGTCATCAAAAACATATAGTTCACAGAGATTTAAAGGTATGCATATGAATGGTATTCCCAACTTGATGCTTGGCTCCTAACATGCTACAGGCACACAAAGCATGACCGTTTTAAACAAAACCTTGACTTGATTGAATGTCAATGAAAGAGGTGACATCATCGATACCTGTAAAAAGATAATGATGTAAAAATGGACTTCTACAAAAGTTCATCAATGTTTGCTTTGAATCTTAATCATCCCTATTTATTCAATAAATTGTAAAGATGGGTGGTGTTGTTTGAAAATTGAGTTTAAAAAATTTCCGATCTGTCTGGATTTGGTTTATTAAAGAATTATTGTAATGTGTACATTTGATTGGGGAAATCTGACCTGTATCTAATTGTCATGGTTCTATATTAACGAGTGTTTTTTGTTATGCCGGTTTTTATACGCCCGTTTACAGGACGTATTATGGTATACTGTTGACCGTCTGGCTGTCCGTACGTCGTCAACATGTCGGACATTAACTCAAAAAAACTTTAACCAATATGCATGAACCTTTGGTGAATTGTTTATATCTATTGACGTGAGCTCCCTTTCGTTTTTTATAAATTTCAGATTTACCGTTTCAAGTTTTGGGGTTTTATTCATTAAAAAAAGGGGGATTTTCCAGTTTTCGGACAATAACTCAAGAATGCTTTCACCAACTTGCAGGGAATTTTGGTGAATTGTTTATATCTATTGACATGAGCTCCCTTTCCATTTTTATAAATTTTAGATTTTACATTTCCGAGTTGCAGGGTTTTATTCATAAAAAAAGGGTGATTTTCCAGTTTTCGGACAATAACTCAAAAATGCTTTCAGCAGTTCTCATGAAACTTTGGTGAATTGTTTATATCTGTTGATGTAAGCTCCCTATTGATTTTCATAAATTTTCCAATATGACATTGAGAAGAAATTGAACTTTATTTGTTAATAGTCTGACAACAGATTTACTATAAGTATTGCACAATAGCAAGAAATCTTTAATTGAATATAAATTCAATTCAAATAGCCAATTTCAAGTTCTTTAACTACATTTATTCAGAAGCCTATAATATGTCAAATATTTGATTACAATCCAAATTCAGACCTGTATCAAGCTTGAATATTGTGTCCATTTTTGCCCCAACTGTTCAGGGTTGGACCTCTGCAGGCGTATCCAGTTGCGCTCAGCGAAGCAGTTTATTTGTTACTAAAAGAATCATTGTAAATTTTATCCATGTATGTTTGACTGATGTCTTCTGACATTCTCAAATTTTCATGGTTCACTGAACAGTATAGTTTAGAGTACTTTGTGGGGGTTATTATAAGTATAAGTAAACGGTCGATCTGGTAGAGAGAATCAATGTCAGGCACACGTGTCCTTCTGCCATTTTTCATTAGACTGACCTCATTTTAATGGTTAAGTCCACTAAAGGGTATTCACTGGACTGAATAAAAGTTGTGTCCACAGTGTGCCCACATCCAGTGTTGAGGGTTGGAAATGTCAAAATCTAAGCTGTACAAAGTGAATTAAGGGGGAGGGTTAATCCTTTATTCATGCTCCTCTGAATTTGAATATGATCAGGTTAGTTTTAGAAATACAACAGTACATCTACTCATTTAGACATGCAGTAATATGGCAGTATATCAAATTACTGTCAATTTTGATTCAAGACTATCAATGTAATTCTGTTAGTGGTTTTAAGGCAGACATCAGTGTCTTTAAATATAGACCCATCATTTTGTTGATGCAAAAGTTGACATTTAATCTGAAACTCAGATTTCTGTACTGTGGAATTCTGTTATGCATATATGGAAATGAAATGTCTGGAACAAAGGGATAATGAATTGTGGTACTATTGAAAATATCTGAAAAAATTAGTTAAATATATTTTGTAATCTATAGACAATAGACAGGTTTTAATTAAACATTAGTTGTACTGTGAATATCAGAATTTCTTTTACTGCTTTCAGGCTGAAAATTTATTGTTAGATGGTGATATGAATATAAAAATAGCAGATTTTGGTTTTAGTAATGAATTTGTACCTGGTAATAAATTAGACACATTCTGTGGGAGTCCTCCATATGCTGCACCAGAATTATTTCAGGGTAAGTAATTAGATATCTTTAAAGATTGCAGTACAAATCTAACTACCGTAGAAAGGCTTGTATAGTTCGCACTGGTACATAGTCTGCACCCCCTTCTCCCCACGAAATTTTAGGTAAAAAAACTTTTTGTCACTGTTAGAAAAGGTCTAATGAAACTCCGGTAATTTCAAATCCTGTGCGGTCGTTTGCGGTATTTTCTTGGAAAAATCTGTTTTCCATCATCAAACAGAAGCTGAAACTGCTTGTAAATGATTCTAGAACGCTTCATGATTGTTAAAATAAGTTTAATTCACTTAAAAAACAATTTAGAAACTTGTGTATGTTTAAACAGGAAGTTTAAAAAGCACGTGTAAAAGAAGAAATTAACCGGTGAGAGTCGAAATCCGTACATAACAGATATCACTATAATACGACTTTGAAAGTAAAACAGTTCCATCCTTTTGTAAAACAGTCTTTAATATATCTATCACATTAATGTTTGAAGGGTCTTAAGCTAATACAAACCATATTAGTCAGTATGAAACACCAAAACGGAACGAACAATAACCAATTACGTTTTGTAGTTTACAAATTCTAAGCTGGTTTACGGTTGTCTTTTTCACTATGTTTGTATCGTTTCAATCAAGCAGATACCAGTTTATTTCAACCAATGCATTGAAAAGAAACGAGAAATTTGTAATGAAAGGTTTAGTTTTTATATTTAGCAGTATTAATTTGATTTTGAATAGAAATAACTTATTAATATGGATGAGTTAAAATTATTAGTTTGAAAAATGATAAGAGTGCCCTCTACAATATAAATAACAAAGATGGCGGAACGTAAACAAACCACCTCGCCCGCGAAATTGAAATTTTTCTCTTATTTCTTGCTTATTGTACTCTATAGTCCGCACCCCGTCTGGAAGGTCCAATTTTGGAGAATAAAACCGCGGACTATACAAGCCTTTCTACGGTAGACTAATTATCACAACATTAGTTTCCTTTCAGTCACTTGTTAGAAGTATTTTAATCATTAGAAATTTTAGAATAAAACTTTTGAGGCAATTTTAATTATTTGTTGCAGTTAGGATATTCTAAACTTATCCCTTTGCAATAAAGCACAATTTTTTAAAGAAAGAAAAAAAACAAAAACATATTGATTAAGTTCACTTCCTTAAATCAGTATTGTTGCCTGATAATGAATATTTAACATCAATACTTTTATTCAAACAGCAAAATTTCAAAAACTCAAAATTAGCTGCACTGACTTTTTATTGATACTAAAAAAAAAAGGTTTGATTTTTATAATGAATTTGTATTTTTTTTCAAGACATTTCCATCATTAAATTAAGTATATTTATTTTTCAGGAAAGAAATATGATGGTCCAGAAGTAGATGTATGGAGTTTAGGTGTAATATTATATACACTAGTCAGTGGGTCATTACCATTTGATGGCCAAAATTTAAAGGTAATAATGTATTTAAAAAAAGTGATATTTAACATGTTGTTGTATTAAAAACAAAGATTAGGAATATAAAATAGTAGGGGCAAAATATCATTATGTAACAAAGGTTTAAAGAAATTTCATTGTAATCCATAGGTAATGAGGAATTGTTGATATTGAAGATTCAGTGTTTTCCTTAGGGAAACCCAAAATTCATTTGAATCTAAAAACAAAACACAGTGCACAATTGAATTAGGTTACAAATTTCATTTGAATTGAATTCTAGACACTAGCTTAACAAGAATTGCACATGCCAAGTGAGGATGGACGTTCAAATAAATGATAAGATATCAATCAATATTCCCCTACTTCAGTTTGTAAGGTGAAAATAAGTAATCCTCTGTGTAAGACAAATTGTTCAATAGTTAATTATCTCATTGTATATACCCAGTACCAAAATATTTGGACTGATCAGATATTGAGTGTAAAGGGAAGGAAAGTACATAAATATAATTTACCCAAACTGCTGGTAGAGCTAGCAACAGGTTATAAATAAGGCAGTTTGGAATATATTATCACAGCTACAAACTTCATATTTTATTCAAAGCTATATACTTGTTATAAAAATCATGTAAATATTAAAAAGTAGCTAACAACTAGTTAACTTATGAAAAAAACACAAATTCTATTTACAGGAATTACGAGAACGGGTTTTACGGGGGAAGTACAGAATACCTTTTTATATGTCAACAGATTGTGAAAATTTGTTGAAAAAGTTTTTAGTATTAAATCCTACAAAAAGAGCAAGTTTAGAGGTAAGGTTTGAATTGTGAGATTATAATTAGGATGTTCACATGTACAGTATCTGCTAAACAAGTGAAATTCCACATATATTTAAGTTACCAAATGTCTTAAAGATCATACAAAATAAAAAATAATTTGTGACTATTAATCTAGAAACATGATTTATTGTACTTACTGTTATAAAAAAAAAAAAGAATATACAAAATAAACTGGTTAAATAAGTAATAATATGGTCAGGATTAGTGCATGGATACAATTAGGTCATTATGGACAAGAAATATGTGGAAAACATAGTTTTATATAATAAATCTTTCATTTTTTATTGCACCAGAATATTATGCGAGACAAGTGGATGAATGTAGGTTTTGAAGATGATGAACTTTTACCTTATGTTGAACCCCCAGCAGATGTGTTAGATCCTGTCCGGATAGGTAATAACCTTGACACGGATCAAATGTTGTTAACCGTGGTTACATAGTGTAACATTTAATGTTGTTGTAATGATAGGTTGTGTGGAAGTTTTCATCATGTTCTTATATTGTTACATTGAAAACTTTCACCTTTGAAGGAAGCAGCATTGAAAACACTGTTGAAGCTTGGAATAAAAAGATACAACTAAGCATTATTTCAAGATTGATTGACTGTTGTTTTGGTGTTTGTTCAGTATGGTTGTAATTGCATGCTTCCTTCAAACTTTTAATGTCTTTTTGTTTTTGACAATAGTATCTATTTTTTTTCTTTTATTTTGTGTCGTCAGAATATAATGAAAGACCGATGGAACAATATGGGTTATGAAGATAGAGAATTAAAACCTTATAGTGAGCCGCCCAAGGATCTTTTAGATTCAAAGCGGATAGGTAAAGTCTGATAAGTTATGTCCTGAATGTCAGTGTAATATATGGAGTTCTCACATTGTGGTATATCAGGTTTTTGATTGGTCATTTTTCTAATTCAATTCATAAACCAACTGAAATTTTATGAACTTATTTTATTTAAATCTTGTGAGACATATTTTTGCGATGTTCAGGATATGCCATTGTGTCAAGACATAACTTATGATGTGTATCCCTCATAATATCCATCTGTTCTGTTTTTATCACTGTTTAAACTACAACAAGACAGTTCCATATACTTTAAAACAGTTCAAAATAAATTCACAGTGTAGATATGATCTCTTTAGAGCATTGATAAAATGAATTTTATACATAATAGATGCATTTAGACTGTCTTCTTGTAGGGGATTTCATTTTATTTGGTCAGACCATACTAATATTAGATGCCAATACTTGTATAACATATTTGATTTTATTGACCCAATGAATTTCTACAACTTCTTCAAGCTGAAATAAAGTGGTGATGGATTCTTTGAAAATGTCCATAGCTTCATTCTTAATACTATTACTATAAATCTCGCTACACATTATTTTCACCAATGATCTAATGATGATGTGTTGTGTCAATTCAAGTTGCTATCCTTTACAAGTTGGTGGTTTAGTCCAGATTTTGATCAAAATCAGCTAGAACCGTTAATTTAATTTTAAATCATTCCTTTTGTTCTATAGTTAATCAGCTTATTGAGGGTGCAGCATGAATTTGTATGCTTGTTCCTCCATCTGTATCTCCTGCTTAAGAGTTGTTCCAAACCCATAAATGGATTTCCATTGAAATCAGTATACAGTATTTCTAATTGTTCAGTAGGTCATTGAATTGTGCACACCTCCAATTTGAAATAGTATAATGTTTTGCTGAGTTTCTGAATTTAGAAGTATAGGGTATACATTTTTATAGCTAGGTTCACAGTTCATCTGTGTTTACAACTTTTTATAATTTGAATATTACAGTAAGGATGAGTTGGAACTTTTCATAGTTGGAAAAAAGGCAACTTATTTGTTGAAAAAAGTTTAAATACCTGTGACTTCATGCATGTCTTTTGAAACATCACATATATTGGTATGGTCTGATTTCTTCATTTTATTTTCATTATCATATTGTATTGTATTTATTTTCAGCTAAATTTTGAAAGCATTACTACTTTGTCAGTTGACAATTTTTTTAAGTACATAGTTTGCTTGTTGTTTCTTTATTATAACATTTTGGTACTTCTGTATTACTATGGTATTATAGTTCTTTTCACAGTTCAAGTTCCTACACAGACTTTTGTTAAGGTCCTTCTTAAATACATAATAGTCTTTTGTCTGTATCTCTTGTATCTGTTTTCATTTATTGTGAGTTATAGTGTAAGCTCTTGAATTGGGGGGGAAACATGTACAGATATAGAGTATTTTAAAACTTGAAAATCACTGAATTTGGGAAATTATTCTCCTCACACATAATATCAAGTCTTATATTTTTGCATATAAACTAATTAAATTTTTTAAAAGTTTGCTCACATTGTAAAGAAATGTAAAGTTTATAGATATAACTTGTTTATGCTACTATTTAATTTTCAGAACTTATGGTCAATATGGGATATAGTAGGAAAGATATAGAAGATACAATTACACATCAAAAGTATGACGATATTCAAGCTACATATCTACTCTTAGGGCGAAGGACATTAGAAGTATGTATTGTAAATATGATCAACAAAAAAAAATCTAAGTACCTTTGAAATTTGCACATCGTAATGTAGTGTTGTCCATTTTCAGTATCATATAGTGAAATTGGTAACAGTTTTATGCAAGGTCTCCTTTTAGGGTCAATAAGAATAACACTTTATAATATCAGAACAAGTGAATAGCCTAAAAAAAACTGCCAAAACTCACAATTCTGTAAAAGACAAAAAATTTAAAAGTTCATGTATACAGAATAATCTTAGAAACATTACCGTAATGGTATAAAAAGAAACTGTTTATGTAGAAATTTAAACAAAAGCTAAACAGAGTAAAAAATTGATAACAAAGAAATGAATTTTTTTTCAGTTGGAAGGAAGTGATCGGTCAGGTAGCAGTCAATCATTACGGAATTTACCATTATCTTCATCAAATCGTCCACATAGTGAAAACACCGCCAACAATAACCAGTCTCCAAATAAAGTCACAAGAAGTCAGTCAGCAACGAGTAGTGGTAGTACTCAGGGCCGCAGGCGGTATAGCCATGGTGGTGATAAGGGTAGGTCACATGGTAAAATATCATTTATACCTAACTTTTACAGTCTCTAAATATAAGACTCCTTTAAATCAGCAAGTATTTAGTGATTCAACTGAAATTTTACATCAATACTGCTGGAAGGGTAGATAAAAATAAGGTTTTCACAATGGTTAAAATTCTATATCATAGCCATGCATAATGTCATGATGTTGATCAAATCTGGAATCAACAATATATGTGAAATTGACATGTAATAGTTGATCTGACAACCTGCATTTTTAGAGCACATGGAACTTGGTTAATCATATTATTTATGTTTAAAAGATGGAGGCAACCTTTATGAGCCTTTGGTTCAGAAAATCACCTAAAAAGTTAAATCTAATGTGCCCACAACATATGTTTTGTAGACTTCAATAGTTAGATTTTAAAAATTACCTTAATTTGTCATCTTCTGTTCATGTTTTAATATGAGCAACATTCCTATCAAAGAAGATCATATTTGCTTCAAGATTTTTCAAATATAATGATGTGATAAAAAAAATTTGCTCATAATTATTTTTTGTCCGAAAATAAAAAGTCAGTTTAATCAAATATCTGACAATGACATGTTTTCGATGTCGCTGTGATAAAGATTGATTAATATGCATTGAAAAGGCACTGAAATAAGCGCTATTTTGACAAGTGTATTGAATCAACAATAATATGGCTATTTCATGTGCCTCAGTTTTAAAATTAGGATGATGTGTATATTACAAAGGAAAATGCCTATCAGTAAAGTAACTTTTTTTCATTCTGAATTTGGCTGTTACAAGTCTTAATGGAAGTTAGCGATCCAGTTATTACTAATCATTTGTAAAGAAAAAATTAATTTGCCAAATATGAATTCATCCTTCCATTATTTCACATTCAAGTAAAAAAAGAGCCAAACTTGGCCTCTTTCATATGTCAAATTTACTTTTTTCTATAGGTAACTCTGGCTCATCTAACTCACAGTCAACAACTTCTCATCCTCCTCGACGTCAAAATACAACAATCGATACATCAACTACAAAGGAAAACATGTTGACAACAGGAAGAAAAACACCAGGATCTGTTGAATCCCCAAAGGTATGGCAGGCTATTCTGTTGTCAGAATATGTTGTAGTTGTCTTGCACAGAAAATACACATCTTGGCAAAACAAATTTTTGGCATATTTGAAGTTCTCTAAAAAAAAGAAATCTAATTTCCTGAAAGTTACATGTGTAGTTTGCTTTTGAACAAGAAAAATGCTAAATTTTCATGGCAGATATCAGTGCATATTTTTGAATGGCTTAAATTAATGCTTAGCTTTAAACTAATTATCCAGTTTTCTTCTAGCATTGAATCTTTTAACTGATTTATGTTTGAAATGTTGAATGTGTTATCAAAATTTAAACTAGTGAATGTAGGCTGCATCCATAAAATTTTTATTTGATTGTGAAGGGAAGTACCAAAAAGTGACATCGAGCATAAGAAAAGAAAGAAAAATAGGAAAATTAGAGAAATAAACCCCAAAAGTAGAACTATTGTCTGTATTCACAGTGCATGTAAACCTTGACTGGCACATTTAATGCACATACATTGCATGTTCCAAGGCAGAAGAGAATGGCTTGTCACTTCATCGCTGTAATGCTTGTAATTTCCTCATTTTCAGAAGAGTCCTTTCATCAGAGACAGTATCAAAGATCATAATAAGGTATTACTTCATTTAAAGATAAACTATTATTGTCCATGAAGAATAGTTCTTCTGGGACATGAGCCCAGTAAGTGTTATTATCTTTGGAGCAATAATGATATACTGGTCTCTTGCATCATTTAGGTAAATTATTCATATGTACTTACAAACAATCAATTGTTGATCTTCTAAGGGAATATATATATCCGTCAATACTAGATACAGAATACAGGCTGTAACGGTTCATTTCTTTTTTAAACATGACATTTGATGCTTTGCTGATGCCTTTGCACAGTTTGAGCTTGTTGGTTGGACTTACTTACTTGTTGCAGGTAGATAATAATGTTTTCTAATGAGTTTTGTCATTTGTTACTCATTATGCATGAAATTTCATTATTCTTTGGCTCTGTAGTACTTTAGAAATTTGCTATGAGTGATTGCTTGTTGTATTAGATCTATTCATGTTGTTAAACAATGTTTTAAATTTGATGTAGAAAATACTGTATAAAAATAAAGAAAATGCTTTACAGCTAAACAAGTTGAGTGTATTAATAGTGCATAATATTAAGGTTGCTTGTTAGAATGGTGCATATATATATTATACAATTATAGCCTTTGTATGAGGTAGATACAAGGTGATATCGACCTAAGAGAAGCATATTGTCTGAGGACAAAGTCCAAGGTCGATATAACATCGTATGGACCTCAACCAAAGGCTACAATTGTAATATTATTAATCAAACAACTATTTCATGAACAATGTAAAATTTGGGATTTCTAGAATGTATTTTTAATAACATGCTGTATGCTCTGTGCAATATGCTGTTTTTTACCTACAAAAAGCTAAACACAACAGTAATGGCATGCAAACAGTAATACAGATGTACATGTGATCACGTTTTATCAAATCACAAATCCTTAAAAATATTCTATTAATAATATAAAGCTTTTGAAAATTTAAAACATGTTATCACCATCATGTAAATTAGAAAATTGGCCAGATGTGACACAAATTATTTGTTATGTTATACATTATATTAAACTGATAAAGTTCGTACAAATAAAGTTAAATATATTTTTACTGTAAATCCAAATGGTATTTTGCTGATCGTAGTGCCATATTGCAGGTTATGGACAGGATGTTAATCTCCAAGAGAGTATTTGTTTTTGATGTACTGCATTAATTTTGCTTGTTAAGTTTTAAAAAGTAAAGTAATGTTAAAAATAGTGACATTTGAACTTACATTCAGCAAGCACATAAGCTCGTATAAAAATTTTCCTTTTAAATCCTAACAAAAACCATCCTGGTGCTAAAGGTATTTCATTCCATTTATTGAAATTACTTTTTTCAATAATTTACTTTTCTTTTTTTAAACTCTTTAATGTGAACTCATATTCAGGTTTGATGAAACACAATTCGACAGGATTAAAAAGAATTTTCAAGAGAAGATGTGACTATGTTCTTAATAGGCTGAACAATGTTTGGTCATGTTTTATGAACATTAAAACCTTTAACTTTGTCTTGGATGTTAAATGTTAGAGAACAACACCAAGTATTATCTTTAAAAAAAGCGGGTTCTCAGTCATCTTTTTGTTACACTTTCATTAATTAGTATATAAAGAAAATATTGATTTTTTAGTCTGCCTAGCATACAAGCTAACTTTATTTCATTGGTCATTTTGTACATACACTCAAGTAGGTCTGCTGTAATGCATTTTATGTTAATATTTGTGTACATTGTTTATTGAAATGTCAGAAGAATAAAATCTTTTAAATTCTATTCCAGAAAAATTGCTTTTGAATTTTGGAGGGGGAGTGGGTGGGTGTGAAGTCTTTGAAGACACATTGAAATACATTTTCTATGGCTGGTTGGGTCTAGAAAATATTTTGGCATAATATTTATGGTAAATGATTTTTGGATTGATGGGGCTTGTTTATTGAAAAGTGTAAACATGTCTGCCAGTTGATTGCTGGTCATTTAAAGAAGAAACAGAAAATTAAACTAACATTGTGACAGATAAAAAATATTTTTTATATATGGTACATTCATTAATTGATACTCAGATACTAAGATTTTATTGCTGCATCCAGGATTTATAATTTTCTTACCAAGATTGTTCAGGTATTGTAAAAAAAAAAAAAAAATCAGGAGAGGAATTGATTGCAGGACTATAACTAAGATAATAAAATGTAGTTTTGGAATAGAACAATAAAAGATGGAACTATTCTTATTAAAAAAATTAATTGGAAAATATTTAAATATTAAATTTTCTCAATAGATATGAATTTGTTACTTTCACTCAGTATTTTGTTGTATTAGATTAGTTCATCAACACCTGCCAGAGCAACCATGCCGAAAAAATTAAGTTCAGCTCCATCATCCACACCAAAAAATAATGTGGTACAAAGCAGTATTCCGCGAAGATCAGCTGGACGAAGTGAAACATTTAGTCCAGGAGACTCGCGCATACAACCTCCAAATGAAAAGCCAAGTAGAACAACAAATGGTCAACATGATCTCAGGGGGTAGGCCATAAGTAATAAAGATGAATTTTATTAGGAAAAGTAAATTTTTGCTATATCATGCTAGATAAATTAATATTTTAGCAATATTATATTGACATCAATAATAAAAGTATAAATTCTTGATAACAAAAAAAAAAAGAAAGTTGACTGTGTAGCAGGAATATGTCCAACAATTCAAAATGATAGATAGTTTCAGCATCAGTTCATCAGTTTACTTAAGTGTTAAATTTCCATTTCATTTCATTTCATTTAGCTGTAAATTGTATGTAGAAGAAATGTCAATATAGCCATAGCAAGTGACCAAAAGCAAATTCCATGAAATGCATTCACAAACACAGACTTGTAAGATAGAAAACTGTATTATTTATTCTACAAGTAATCTCAAATTGTCATTTGTATTATTCCCCTTGATAGCTCAATGACCAACTCTACAGATAGTGCTACATCTGATGTTCCTTCAGTCAGACCAAAAGGTCATGGTCATGTCAAATCAGCCAGTTTAAGCCAGTCTCAGACATCTAGAGTTACAGACTTACCTCCCTTGTCAGACAGTGAAAACTATCGGCCAACGTGAGTATACTTTTCACTAATGAAAAATGACCAAAATGTAACCCTTCTGCTTAAAAATTGTTTGCTATATAGAATTAAATGGATGACATATATTTTGATTTCTATTTTTGCTTAATATAAAGGAGTTTATTATACCAAGAGAACTTATAGAAAAAGATAATCAATTAATATGATTTATTCAGAAGAAGATTTTTGTTTTGAAATGTTATTAAGTTTTATTGGAATGTTTAGAAAGAAATTTCAAATGAAAGATATCTTTTGTGTGTTTAAACAAGCATCTGAGAAGGGACTATTGTTTTATATTGTCTATTTTCAGAACTGCACCAGGAAAAACATCACAATTACCGGTGTCTCCTGCATCTACAAAGAGTTCCTTATTGTACCGAAACACTGCAAGTAGAAACACATTCCATGGTGGACCCATACGGGACAGACGGCAACAAAGACAAATCAATGGTCCAGATGGGGTCCCTTCACGTACTCAGGATGAATCGTCCATGAATACTAACAGACAGTCTTTTTTCAATAAAATTAGTCAAAAATTTAGTCGCAGGTATGTTTTTATATTTCTTTTGATTATGCCATTAGAATAAAAGTTAGTTTTTCATCTTTAAATATTTGTTTACAAAAAAGTCTTTAGATTACTCATTTAGAATGCTTTAATGGGTTCACCAAAGAAAGAAGGAAACTGGTTTTGAAAGTATGGTGAAGGAAAATAGACTGATAATATAAATTAATTATTAGTTGCTATTTACTAAAATAATGAAAATTTTCACTACATCTATGAAAGTTTAAGGTTATTTTAAAGAACTATTTTAGAAATATATAAAATTGTTAAAACTCAAATAGAGGAGTACAGAAAGTACAGTTCAAAATAAATTATCATAACTTGGCATTCCTCAGTACTAATAAAGTAGAACAGGCTGATGTTAAGACCACTTAAGATATTTATGCCCCCGCCGTAGTGGTGGGGGCATTAAGTTTTACCCTTGTCCGTCCGTACATACATACGCACGTACGTACATCCCAAAATTGGTTTCCATTCTCTAACTTGAGTTTGCCTCAACCAAATGTTGTGAAACTTATACACAATGCTTATTACCACAAAACACAGATCAAGTTTGAATTTTGGTGGCGTCACTTTAACCGTTCTAGAGTTATGCCCCTTTATAAATGGAAAAATTGCAAAATTTTTATTTTCTTCTAAATATTAAGTAATTTTTATACGACCGCAAAAATTAAAAATTTTTATGGTCGTATATTGGTATGACGTCGTCGTCGTCGTCCGAAGACACATTGGTTTTCGCACTCTAACTTTAGTTTAAGTGAATGGATCTCCGTGAAATTTTACCATAAGGTTCAATACCACAAAAGGAAGGTTGGGATTGATTTTGGGGGTTATGGTACCAACAGTTAAGGAATAAGGGGCCAAAAAGGGGCCAAAAATAAGCATTTTTGTAACTTCCAGACATAACTTGTGTGTTAGTGTATGGATCTCTCTGACATTGTACCACAAGGTTCCATATCACAAAGGGAATGCTGGGATTGGTTTTGGGGGTAATTGCCTCCAAATTTTAGGAATTAGGGGCCAAAAAAGGGGCAAAAAACAAGCATTTTTCTAGTTTCATGATAATAACTTGTGTGTAAGTGTATGGATCTTTCTGAAATTGAACTGCAAGGTTCCATATCACAAAGGGAAAGCTGGAATTGAGTTTGGGGGTAATTGCCCAAAACATTTAGGAATAAGGGGCCAAAAATAGCATTTTTATAGTTTCCAGACAATTACTTGTGTTCAAGTGTATGGATCTCTCTGAAATTGTACTGCAAGGTACCATACCACAAAGGGAAGGCTGGGAATGATTTTGGGGGTAATTCCTTAAAATTTTAGGAATAAGGGGCCAAAAAGGGAAAAAAAACAAGCATTTTTCTAGTTTCAGGACAATAACTTGTGTTCAAGGGTATGGATCTCTCTGAAATTGTACTGCAAGGTACCATACCACAAAGGGAAGGCTGGGATTGAGTTTGGGGGTGATGAATCATAAGGGGTTTTAAAAAATTTGGGGGGGGATTTTTTTTTTTTTCCTTTTTTTTCTTTTTTTCCTTTTTTTTTCTTTTAAAATTTTCCATTTTAAGTTGGTTATTTATGATTTATATTTAAAAGCAAATAATAATGATATGGTAGGAGATACACACCAAACAGGATGTGTAAATTATTATATAATAAGTATTGTGCAATAGCAAGAAATTTTCAATTGCACAGTATTGCACAATAGCAAGAAATCTTTCATTGCACAGTATTGCGCAATAGCAAGAAATCTTCAATTGCACAGTATTGTGCAATAGCAAGAAATATCCAATAGCACAATATTGCGCAATAGCAAGAAATTTTCAATTGTACAGTATTGCGCAATAGCAAGAAATATTCAATTGCACAGTATTAATTGCTTATTTCTTGACCAATTTCAATGGGGTTTTATTCTTGAATTCTTGGGGTTCTTTAATATGCTGAATCTAACCGTGTATTAAGTTTTTGGATTTTGGGCCCCGATTTTAAATTGGTCCACATTGAGGTCCAAAGGGTCCAAAATTAAACTTTGTTTGATTTCATCAAAAATTGAATTATTGGGGTTCTTTGATATGCCGAATCTAACCGCGTATTTAGATTCTTAATTTTTGGTTTCGTTTTCAAATTGGTCTACATTAAGGTCCAAAGGGTTCAAAATTAAACTTAGTTTGATTTTAACAAAAATTGAATTCTTAGGGTTCTTTGATATGCTGAATCTAAACATGTATTTAGATTTTTGATTATGGGCCCAGTTTTCAAGTTGGTCCAAATCAGGGTCCAAAATTAAACTTTGTTTGATTCAACAAAAATTGAATATATGGGGTTCTTTGATATGCTGAATCTAACCATATATTTAGATTTTTGGGCCCCGTTATCAACTTTGTCCACATTGAGGTCAAAAGGGTCCTAAATTAAACTTTGTTTGATTTCATCAAAAATTGAATTCTTGGGGTTCTTTGATATGCCGAATCTAACCGCGTATTTAGATTCTTAATTTTTGGTTCCGTTTTCAAATTGGTCTACATTAAGGTCCAAAGGGTTCAAAATTAAACTTAGTTTGATTTTAACAAAAATTGAATTCTTAGGGTTCTTTGATATGCTGAATCTAAACATGTATTTAGATTTTTGATTATGGGCTTAGTTTTCAAGTTGGTCCAAATCGGGGTCCAAAATTAAACTTTGTTTGATTTCAACAAAAATTGAATATATGGGGTTCTTTGATATGCTGAATCTAACCATGTATTTAGATTTTTGATTTTTGGGCCCCGTTATCAACTTTGTCCACATTGAGGTCAAAACGGTCCTAAATTAAACTTTTTTTGATTTCATCAAAAATTGAATTCTTGGGGTTCTTTGATATGTTGAATCTAACCATGTATTTAGATTTTGGATATTGGACCATAATAGGTGAATGTCCAATTTAATAAAAAATTTTAAGTTCTTAGACCACATTCATTCTGTGTCAGTAACCTATGCTGTGTCAAATATTTAATCACAATCCAAATTCAGAGCTGTATCAAGCTTGAATGTTGTGTCCATACTTGCCCCAACTGTTCAGGGTTCGACCTCTGCGGTCGTATCAAGCTGCGCCCTGCGGAGCATTTTATTAAAATTGGAGTTATCTTCCTTTGTCCATGATTATAGTTGAATCAACTACAATCAATGCTTTATACAATGCAATGTTTAATTTTGACTTCCACTGATAAAACACAGATCAAGTTGAATTTGGGTAGTGTCACTTTAACCATTATTGAGTTATGCCCCTTTATAAATCGAAAGATTGCAAAATTTTTAGTTTCCATTCTGTAACTTAAGTTTGCCCCAACCAAACATTATGAAACCTATACACAATATTCATTACCACAAAACTAAGATTAAGAAAAAAAATTTTGTTTCCGTTTTCTAACTTTAGTTTGCCTCAACCAAATGTTATGAAACTTATACACAATGCTTATTACTACATAATACAGATTAAGTACGAAATTTGGTGAGAATACTTTTACCATTCTTGAGTTATGTCCCTTTATAAACATAAAAATTGCTGTATTTTTCGTTTCCCTTCTCTCACTTTAGTTTGTCTCAACCAAATGTTATAAAACTTATACACAACCGTTCTAGAGTTATGCATGTTTACAAATAGAAAAATTGCTGAATTTTTAGTTTCTGTTCTCTTCTTAAGTTAGCCTCAACCAAATGTTATTAGACTTACACACAATGCTTATTACCACAAAACTCAGATCAAGTTCAAATTTGGGTAGCGTCACTTTTACCGTTCTTCAGTTATGTCCCTTTATAACTATTTGCTATGCAAGCAGGGGCATCATCTGTGTCCACATGTGGACACTACTATCCACATTTATTTCATAAATAATTTGAGAAAGCATTGGTTAATTTTTAGGCAGTTTGACTATTAGCTTTGAAAACATATGAATAATTTGCAGTTTATTGGGCTGTGAGTTGAAAAGAAGATTACTCACTTTCAATGGTATCATGTGATACAGTCAAAAAAGGACACAGAAACATCATTACAAAATACATAACATTCTACCTTTGAAAATTTACATCACACTGACTTTATGATATTCATTCTTGTTTATTGCATGATATTGGATACCCTCAATTCAACTATATACAAATTGATTGTGTGCAATGCTTAAGCATAAGTAACTATTATATGTCATTAGCAACATATTTACTAATAATAACTTGGCTTTCAGGTATTCATCATTCTCTATGATTATTAATATGCATTTTATTTCTCTTACCATCCTGGATTGTAGTGCTATGGAAAAAAGGACTAACTCAAATGATTTTAAGTAAGTCATCATGTTTGTAATCATATTAATTATTTGTCACAACAACACTGTTATAACTTCATTTGGATATTTCTTTATCCTTTCAATTGATCTAAATATAGCAATGAATAAAACACAATCACAAGCAACACGTTGCAATGTGTCGCTGACTACTAAGTTTTATAGACTGTGATTAAATTATTTACAGGTAAAATTTCACATGGTAACTAGCTGAAAATGTTTCTGCCTATGAAAAAGTGGTCCGTCACATTCATGCTCATGAATTGGAAGAGAAAAAAAAGACCATACCCATAATCTAATATAATTCTTTTTCTTGGTTTAATGGTGGCTGATAGCATATACTTGTAAAGTAATCCAGAGCTATTATGTGAATATAAATAAGCTTTTTTTGTAACCACATGTAAATATGTAAATGGTGCATTAAATGTTATCATGTAATTTTCAGTTTTTAATATTGAAATGTTAAATCTTGCATCTTTGTGAGTTCATATGCATATAAAAGAGCTTTTATCATTATTGGTGATTGGAACAGTTACTATTGTTTGAAAAACCTAAATTTCATGATGGACATGTCCAAATGAAGTTAGAACTTGGTGGATATGAGGTAATCAGGAAAAATTACAACAGCCTTTCGCCGACATTTTGTGATACATGTAGCTTGCTATCTGCTGATTTATGGCCATTCTTGCAAATAGCAATTGTGAAAGACTGAAAATTTAATATGCAGTTTTATGCAAATTATAATTTTCGTGTCATTCATGTTTACCTTTTTAGCTTTCCTACACATTTGCCAAGAAATATAAAGCCAGAAGGTTTTCCATAGCACTAACTTTCCAGGAACATACTGCATCTGATTCTCTTTGTGATTTTAAAGCATTAATAGTTTTCACTTGACATCAGTGTTAATACACGTAGTGCTAATAATGTAAGGGAAAACTGGACCATATGCACTTGTAAGGTTTAAAAATTTCTAGATATTTACTTTTCTTATAATTTACAACAAAGCAGTGCAAATGTATCCAGTTGAAGTACATGTATATTAATCAAGCATTTGCAATGAATTTATTTCACATGTAATGATAAATCACATACTAACTTTACATTGTTATTCTCCATTGTGCTGGCTGCCCTCGCCTCTAACCACAAAAATTGTCAATCTTCTCAATAAGCAAACTTCTCGGCTGATATTTCTGAAGCATATTTTTCCATGCACACTGTATGGTACTGGGATATATCTATCCTCATATGTTTATGTTGTCCTGTAGTTTATCACCATTTCCTTACTGTTAGAACAAAATATTGAGATAGATTTTAGCATAGTAATTTCTTATAGCATTTAGAAATAACAAAAATTTCAAGATGGGAAGGGGGGGGGGATATGAAAAAGAATGAATATCAGTGCCACTGCTTGAACACTTATACCTCTGGGAAACAGTTCAATCAATTTTGAATTCTTAGTCTTACTACTTTTTTCTGATTTTTTAACTGACACCTTCTTTTGATTTTCCTTAGTTTCTTTTACTTTATTGTTTTTCTGTGTTTTGCTGTCTTTCTTATTACATCATTATACTTTGCACTGCATGCTACATGTATCCTCAATATATATAACTTGAATTGTCAACATTTATATTCATTTCAATGCATGTTGGTCTAAATCAAAATTATATATGGTATGCAATTGACAAAAGCAAGTTTCCAGAAACAAATTAGAGAGCATGTAATGTTATCCAAATGCTTAATGCATGATTAGTAGCATGTGAATGGCATTATTAATTTATGACATAAGTATGCCAAACTGATACCTTTCTAGTAAATATATCACCTCCCCATCTTTATAAAGTTATCCTGCTTGCACTAAAAAAAAAGGTGAACTCAGATGAAGAATAATTTGTTTAATAAAGACTCCTGTCTCCCTTTCATGAGGAGGGAAGACTGTTACTAGTGAAATGGATTTAATGGGGGAAAACTCTCCCTTCCCACAACCCCCAATTTGCCTTTTCAGAAAGCATGCTATTTCTCCAACTATCAAGTTCGGTATGCATATAAACTTATATTCAATTTATTTGATATTGTTTCTGCACTGTTAGTAAAGTACATATTAGTGTAGCCCACAAGAATGTATTTCGCATGATGCACACCTTGTAACTTCCTCAAAAATATGCTTCAAAAAGGAAAAGCTTGAGAGAGCAGTTTGGCATACCTTTTGGAAATAGTTTTGAAATAACTTGTTCTCATTTTCACAGAGGGTCAGCATTACTAAGATTTCCCCATTATATCTAATTTTCAGCAAATTGTTCCGCAGGTCTGTCAATGAGAATCGAGAATCTGACATACTGAAGCCGAGGTCCTTGAGGTTCACTTGGAGTATGAAGACCACTAGTTCTATGGACCCAAATGATATGATGAAAGAAATAAGAAAAGTTTTAGATGCCAACAACTGTGATTATGAACAAAGAGAAAAATATTTACTTTTATGTGTCCATGGGGACCCTAATACAGACAGTTTAGTGCAATGGGAAATGGAAGTGTGCAAATTACCAAGACTTTCACTTAATGGTGTACGCTTTAAAAGAATTTCAGGAACTTCAATAGGATTCAAGAACATTGCTTCCAAAATAGCCAATGAATTGAAACTTTGATGAGAGTGTATGATTTTAGAGTATACAAGTTGCCAGAATGCAATCCTGGTTATGACGAAATTTATAATCACTGACAAGTGATGTTGGTAATATTGCTGCTCAAACAGAAACCTTATCATTCAGAAACTTATGAATATTTTATGGTGTTTTGTCTTTCATTAATTAGGATATTTTAAATGTTTTGAAGGTAGCCAGAATATGAATAAATTATACTTGGTTACATTTTTGTCATATGACTATCATGATTGCAATATAATTACTTTTATACTGGATGTTTATTTCTCTAAGATATAAAATGGGTGGGGGGGGGGGGGGCAATGTGGAATGTGAAATCCACCTACATTTTGATGAAGGTTTCAACATATTTAGAATTTCATAGGATTAAATTAATAGGTTTTTAAATTTTTTCTTTTGGGGGCTGGAAAGAACGTTTTAATCATTGTAAGATTGCTACCTTGAACAGTACCCTATTGATGTCGGTCAATAAGCAATTCTTTTGAGCAGCAATATGAAATACTGTGCTATATTTAACTGTGATCTAAGGGTTCAAAACATATATCATTTAACATTAAACTATTGTATCACATTTTTTATACATGTACAAATTGTAAAATAGAAATGTATTGCCCTCTAGAGACTTAGTTTCTCAAGGGTAATCAAGTGTACAAATGTACTTTATATATAGATAATGTACTATGAAGAAGTTTTTGTTTAGAACATCTTTCTTTGATGCGGTGAATGATTATGTGTATGATCAGTGATGTAAAAGTTTTATAGTAATCTTGCTTCCACTATCATTATTTAGTTCCAGGACAATTTATCACAATGTGAGTCAATTGTTATGCATCTCAGTTCAGGCAAAAAAAAGATCAAAGTAATTAGTGAATGACTTTACTATGGAAAGATCAACATAATACTCAAAACTAAAGGGAAGTAGGGATTTTATGAAGTCTGTGATTTTCATGTTGTAAACACTTAAAGATAAGTTCAAGGTTTCACATATATCAGTCTATTTTTTTGTGGTCTTGCTTAAGATGGCTCTGTATTGAAGGAAGGCACTTGAAAACACTTTTAAAGACATTGGTTTCAATCCTTCTTTGAGACAAACATTGAACAAGAGTTAATGAGAATAAAGGAATACAGTCTACTTTAAATATACTTAATGTTTTCATTGTATATCGAAATTGGTCATTATAGTTCTACAAAATTTGAAAAACTAATGGGCTGTTAAATGTTTTTCCGTAATTCTTTGTTAAGAGTAGGATAACAGCAAAAATATCTGAATTCACAGCTTCTTTTCTCAAAATAGATTGTGTAAGCACATTTGAATCTTGTGGATTTTCGTTACATAATTTTTTCGAAAGTGGTGTTCCAGTATAAGGTGCTGTGTACATTTCAGAATTTTATTTTTATAGAGCTGATCACATGCTGTGTTTGGTGCTTTATAGAAAAATTCAATTTAGAGCTCATCTTCACCAATATATAAGTATTACAAAAGATTTCTTTACTTGTAGATAATAAACTAGATTTATGTTGAATTCTCAGGAGCGTATTCATCAGAAGGAAATCAACTATTTTCAAAATATAGAAACACATTAGGCTTTGATAGATATGACACATTATATTATTTTAAATGGTGAGATAAGAGGAGTTTGTTTAATAGTTCCACAAGATGCAAAGTATTTTAGTATTATTATATTTGTTTTCTGTTTGAAGAATCATGATATGGAAATTAAGCAGGAATACTATGATACAATCAAGGATTTTTGTAAGAGTCCTTATTTAAATCTGAGTGAAGAATCGAAATGAAAAGTATGTTGTCTTTACATACAGAAATAATGATGTGTTTGGTTTGTGATACATTTTGGCTGTTGAAGGAATTAACTGTTTCACTTGGAGATATTTTGCAATGGTTTTTACATTAAAACTTCTTTCTGCCTGTTTGTTAATGGTTACTCAGGCAAGAAAGCACAAAAAAGTTTATTTACGAACACTAAGAGTTTGTCTTTTGTTATATTTTGGCTACCAATAGCATATAGTGAGTCCATAACCGGAATAACTTGGGCTGTATAAGGCATTGTTGATTGATTACAGTCTTTCATAATAAGTGGACATATTAACTTTTTGTACTGTCTCTGTGTATCCTCTCTTTACTATTGTAAATATCCACATTTGTGTTTCCAATTGTATAAATATTGTATATTTCTCAGATAGTTATATTTAAAAAAAGATTGTGTACATGTTTAAAGATTTATTTACAAAAGATGGTTATGAATGGGATGAGAGTATGAATGTAGGACATTTTTTAAAAGTCAGGGTTTTGTGTTGTCTGTTAGATGGGAAAAACAAAACTTGAATAATCACCTCATGGTGGGAAAATCAAATAGTGAATATTATATGCAATGAATGAATCAGCTACACCAGTGTGGCTCTTGTGCAAGCCACAATGTTAAGCATAATTTATTATTTATCTGAACAAGCAGTTCTTTTTTAATCCTCATTAATAAATATTTATAGTTTAGTTTTTGTGAAAAAGTTTTAAATCTTTTGTACTATTTTATCAGCACAGGTGGCAAAATGTTTTTAACTAAGTTCATTATTTTTGGGGAGAGAGAAGGAGGAGAATACATTATACAATGACTTGCAAACTTTTTTCTCCAATTGACAAAATTGTTGATAGTATTAGCATTTTTCTCTTTCTCTAAGTCCTATAATAGATTTGTTTTGGCTGAACAGTTCAATATGACTTTTGTTCAGGATTTTGATATGACAATTTAGTCACATTCGAAATTCACTAGATAAATAATTAAAAATATTTTGTTAAAGAGATAAACTCTAAAAAATCATACTTTGTTTATAATAGGCAAGGTTACTTTTTGGTCAATCAATTCTGCAGTTTTCAGTTTAAAGAGAGAATGATTTTTTTCCTGTCATACAATAATGAAAGATGAGCTACTTGACCTTCCTCTAATTATTGCACATTATGTTTAATTCTGGAAAATAATTAGGGGGGAAAACTTAGCTTTTCAATTTTACATCATGTATACTAAAATTATCATTATTTGTAATTTAATTAGGGCTGTTCCAGAAAAATATTTCTGTGGGCTTTTGAAACACTTACATATTTTATTATCAACAATGGTTAGCTGTAGACCATATTTTAGCATTAAGTATTGAACATTCTTTGTACAGTAGGGCATCTTGAATAGTGACTTCAAAGACTCCCTTGTGGATTTTTTTCTTGAACAGTCCTACAGTAACTTTTAAAAACTAGTTAAAAAGTCACTAGGTAAGAAAAAGAATCAATCACATTTTATTTTAAATGCCAGACAGGAAATCTTCCAAGTAAAATTTCAGTTACTCCTAGAAGATGTGACTGTTTGAGATTTACATGTCTTTACTACTATGTTAGATTCTTTACTAAATAACCTTGTCTTTGGAAGTTATTTTTTCCTATTTTTTAAAAACTTGTTGATAATACCTTTTAAAGAAGATATCAGACTAATGTTTAAAAGAGATAATGTACTACAATACAAAGCCTAAGTATCCTTAATTTTGTTTGTTTCCAATAGGCAATGATTAATTAAATATCATATTACATAACATTAAAATTCTTCCTTTGATGTCATTCTTTTATGTGTACTGATTATTATTTTTAGAATTTGTTGTGTATTTATTTCCCTATTAGATATCAGTGTTAAAACGATTCTTTTCCTTTTGTTGAAAAAAAAAGTCAAAAATGTGTGTTAAAATTTTTATTTGCGAAACAATCTGTCTGTCAAATTTAGATATCAATGAAGTGCTTAAATATATTTATTAACTTTTTAGTTGAATTTTCTTTAATGAATTACAGAAGTTTGTGTTTTAATATGAAATTGTCCACTGAGCCTACTGTGCTGTAAAATATTTTGAATTGTTTGATCTTGTTCAAAGGGGAAAGTGCTTATATGAATAAACAATGCCAAGTCTCTGCTGTTGGTGAGACATTTATTTCAATTTCATTGTTTCAATGGTTTCTTCTGTTTATCAAGCACATTATAGAAAAGGACATCATGAAATTCAGCACTGATATTTAATGGGGGATTGACTAGTTACAAAATTAAAAAGTTCTGAAAAGATATAGTATGGATAAAAGAATATTTATTAGATACAAGTAAGTTTTATCGAAAGCAATTTTTTATTAATTATTTTTCTAGCGTTCTGTATATACGCGATCAAATCTGTATTATCCAAATTTTTGTTTAAAACATTAGAATTGTTATTTTACTTTAAAAAGAAAAACAATTTAATTTAATTTTAATTTTTTTGGTCCAAAACTGGCTTGGGGTAAAATTGCTATCAATGAACAGTGAGGTATACCAGTGTGTATAAATGTTAAGCATGTTTAAAGTACGGTAGGCCACAGTTGGCAACAAAGATGATGTGATACAAATTATGCCAGTCATTTTTTTGCTTTATAAGTTGAATTTTGACATCTGTTTTGTTCACCTAAAAACTTGAAACAATAAAGTAGAAATAAACAACATTTAAAAAGATTTGATCTTTCCTAATGGAAAATTTATATATATGTCTTCTTTATTCATGAATATTTATTTATTTTATAACAACTTGGTATATTAATTTAAAAACTGAAAGAACATTATTTATCAGTTCATATTTATTTTTATTTTAGAAAATGTTAAATAGTGGAACTATTATTTTTTCAAATCATGATATGCAACCTCAGTAGACAGTTGTCTTGGTGAACAGAATGAATGTGCAAAATTGTTTTTTTTTTTATTGTCATACTGGAGTTGTTACTTTTGTTTTTATAATTGCAGCAACACCTTTCAGATGCTTTCTGTAATTACCAAGTAGAAAATCAATAACTTTTTCGTTGATGTCTTTCAAGTCTCTTCTTTTGTTTCTTTTAAGTCTGGATGTATGATTTCATTGGTAACAATTTCAGCATGATGACCTAAGCATTAAATAATTGTTTGGTGGAGCCTATGTTTTGTTGCACTTTAAATCACTACAGATCTCACCATGAGACCATCATTAACCTACAGAATAATGTGACATTAATGAGAAAATAAAAACTCATTTTAAAATAGACTTTGTTTTATAATTTCATTACATAACTTCATGTAATGATTCAGATTTTATTCTGTGGTAACAAGTATATATCACAAATAAAAGATTAATGTCAACATGCTATTGTTGCAAGCTTTGGAAGTTTGGAAATTCTATATCAATAGAAAAAGGTCTCTCCTGACTCCTGTGAACATCTATTGTTGGACTTTTTTTATTGTATAAATCCAAATAACTGTAAAACAGTAAATGTGAAAAAAGAGAATGATAAATGTTAGACTGAGATCGATGTCTGTTTCTCAACTGTTGGTAAAATCTGACTTCAGAATTGAGTCTAAATCTAAGGCTGACTAATAGAAGTCTATTTTGTGGACTTGTTTTGCAATGACGTTGAAGTTGCAAACAACAATTTAAAGTTTGCTTACAAAGAACAAATTTGAACTAAACGGATACCTGTTTTGACCACACTACATTTTGATAAAGGCTTTTTTTGATAAATTAAGGAGAATAATCTTAATAAAAATTCTAAAAGTTTGTATCATTTTCAGTCTGCTAAAACAAGTAATGATATCAATATTTCTTTGCTTTTATCTTACATTTTCTTTTTGGTATCTAACAAAATGAAACAATGGATCTTATCTGATCCTTTGCTATATCAATAACTTTAACTGTGTTGCATTTGATTAGATCTCACAATCTTGGTCTGTTTATTTCTATATCATGGACTTTTTTGTTTAAATATTTAAAAAGACTTAATTCAGATTTAATGATTGTTTTGATTCTGCCTAACCTACAGTGTCAAATATTACATGCATATTCAGGAGAACATTATGATGAAATCCTTTTTTTACTAGACTGGCATGCTTTGATGTACTAGCTTACACGGTAAAGGTCTAGAAGACCTATTACCCTACTCAGACACAGTTTCTGACTAGCAAAAAGACCCATCTTTGCTATCTTCTAATGCTACCTGCTTGGTGGAAAAGCAACCAGTTTTAAAATCTTTGGTTTGACTCTGAAAGAGTGTCTACCTGATACTGAGAGGTAGATAGGTAAGAAGTGTAAAAAAAAAAGTCAGTCACAAAGGAAGAAAAACATTGTGAATAGACACAAAAGGGGAACAAACCACTAAATTACAAAAGTATGAACATTATTGCAGTGAGACAATGCCATTGACTGGATCAACGTCTTCTGTGTGCAAAATATTAATGTCAATATAATCAGTTGTCTGCATTTACTCTGTAGTTTTAGTTGCTTCTGTTGGATGAGATTTTGTCTCGCAATCTAACTCGGTCATGATTCAAATACATGATTTGTTCACACTATTCCTTTGAGATCATTTGATTTCGAGCTTGTTTATTTTAAAGGAATGATTGCCATTATTTGCAGTTCAACATACTCTAAATTAAATTCTGATTTGACAAATATTGGCCTATTGTAACATGACGTGTGTGAAAGCTTCTTTTCTGAAACTCTGGCTAAAAGCTTTCATACTTGGTAGAGTCTTGGTCTTCAATGTGTAGTTGCACATACCATAATGTCATTTTGATTCAACAATCTTTGTCTAACTGTGATAAAGTTGCTGAATTCGTTTAGGAAGCTTTACCCAGGGATACTATTTCGGGCGGCAGAAGTTTGTGATGAGGGGAACCACAAATAGTAAGTCAATGGTATGTGGTATGCAGTTATATAAGCATTGGCACCTTTCATTTAAATGGAGATTATTTGGCTGTCAGCCACGGTCTAATGACTGAAAGTTATTGAGAAGTATATATTAATAGTTAAATTGCCTTTTGTATGCCCCTTCCACGGGGCAAAGAGGGCTATAAAGTTTCCCAATGTCTGTCTACGTCCCGAAATTGGAGTTTGGTTCGACCAACTGTTATGAAACTTGTACACAATGATAATTGCACCAAACACTGATCGAGCTTTGATTTAGGTGGCTTCACTTTCATCTCTTGAGTAAAGTCACTTTATTAATGGACAAAAATGGTTAATTTTGCCTTTTCCACACTAACTTTACTTTGCCTCAACCAAATGATATGAAATTTTTACAATGCTTATTTTCTGAGACTAGTATAATAGTCCCAGTTATTTTGTTTAAACATAATTTATTTGCTTAAATATGCAAAAGGGATGAGACGCAAGTTGATCAAACCTATGGTCTTCTCCCAATGACTTATTACCAACAAACCCAGAACAAGTTCGATATTGGGTGGAGTCACTTTCACCCTATTAGTGTTGAGAGCGCTGAAATCCCTGGGCAATCTATAATGACAACATTCAAAAACAAATGTCAATAAGTTTCAAAGAAAACAAAACATCAATTTGTTTGAATTAGTACATTGACTCTTACATATTTTCAAGCGGGGGCATCTGTCATGTGGACACATTCTTTATGTATTTCAAAGTTTGCATTATATTAAGGAAATAACATATAGGCCCGACATAGATGTGTCAACAGTTTATGGGATGAGTTTCAGAACTTGGAGGGTATTGTTGCAAACTGAGATCTTGTGATAACTGTTTGGAGACAATGTCTGAGGCTTTCGTGCTTGATGAGTTTGTTTTTCATTCTTTGTAGTTGACCCCAATTAACCTCTTTCCATTTGACATTTTCTGATTTTAATTATTGTACTTTTGCCCATTTTTTCGACTATTGTATCATAATGACACTGATACCTTAGGCATTTCCCCTTACCCCGAAGCTATCCAGGTTCGGTCTTTACTCATTGCAAGTATATAATTAAGGCTATATATATTGCATTCACCTTTTCCGTCCGTTCATCTGAAAATCCAACAAATATTTCTGTGACATTTTTCTCAGGTACTATAAGAACAGAATGACAACATTTGGTCATCTACTTGGCAGTGATGGGGTGTAATGTGTTTTGGAACTGTCAGACACCTATTTCTTGTTTGCTTATACTTTGCATTTTCAATATGCTGATTGAATTTTAAAGAAAAGTTGTCACTATTTTTTCAATACCTTAACAGAATGTCTTCTTATTTAGTCCAATTTTATGGTACATAATATGATCAATATTATATTTTTGTCTTGCTTTGACATAGTCAAAAACAAGACTTGAGTGTGTTGTTTGCGGCGTTGGCAGTGGTGGCAATGATTTATTAAAGCTTGTGATTAAGTCAGTATTAAAGAACCACTTATGCTAAATCAGTGATATTTGGTAAGCATTAGTAAGTATTGGCACATCTCATTTCCATGGAGCTTAGTTCGTCCTGTCCCCTCAGTCATTATCTATTGACTCAAAATTTTTGCGTACCAGTAGTTCATGTGTTTAAACGTTTGTGATTAGGTCAGTTTAAGATAAACCACTAAGAAGGCCAATGATATTGGGTATCCAGTTGCATAAGCATTAGCTCATCTCATGTCCATGGAGTTTATATCACCCTGCCCCCTCACTCATGGTTCACTGACTTGGAAACCATTACAGAGTTTACATGTTTAAGTTTGTGATCGAGTCAGTTAAATGGGGAACCAATGTATTAGCATTATCAAATTTAATTCCCCCAGAAATTATTCATTTATAGACGTTGATATTGAATACCTTGCATATTTTGCATGTTAACGTATTATTGATAGTTTGATTTTAACATTTGCATTTTACTATCTAAATAACATGCAGTTGAGACGTATCGCTGTGTCAACAGTTTATTCAAGTTTTGCAGTAGTTCTATGGGGAAGAGATGTCAATTGTAGTTCTATAAGAAGTAGTTGATATATCAAAATGAAACTTCGACAGATATTTAATACAAGGTTTGATATTTTCAATTAAAGGTTGATTAAGATGGTTACCAATCAAGAGTAAGATTTTGAAGGGATGTAATTTTAGTGCGATATTGCTATGATATTTATCTGAAAATGCTAGAAACCTTTTTTCATAAGTATAATGTTGATGTATTGCCATATTTTTTGGTCGCAGCTATTTTTGCTTAAGAAATGTTGTTACAGATTGGGATTGTCAAACTTCCTATCCAATCTAACTTCATATCCCCTCTTCAAGGAAAAGGTCTTGTTTTGTCCCTTCATTCTCAGCAACATTAAAATTTCTAAAGAATATTTGGTATTATGTTGCACCTGGCAAAGCTCACCAATGATTGTCATTTGCATATATTTTTCAAACAATTCCATTAGTAGGCCTCTGGGTCAAATTTGACACTTCTTGGAAAATATAAAATCTACTTGGATAATTGATTGCGTATATTTGAACACGTTATGGCATGCGTGTTGCTTGGACAGTTGACTTAAACTCTATCAAACTGTTTGTTCTCTGGGTGCTGACATAGTCGCTAGACAAGTGTGATGTAAATCTAGCATTTTTTATACTGTCCATGATATAAGTTTTGATGTAAACACTTTAACCAGTCTGTGATGAATGAAAAGTAAATCGATTCCAAATCCTGGCTACTTGACGAAGTGTTCTTGCTTGCAAGCTAGATGAACCAATACTTCATTTTACAGTAGCTTTAATAGCTTTTAAACACCATCTTATGGAAAGCCTCAGCTGTCATATATTAGAGATTTACAAAACGTTATGCTGAAGCTTAAAATGTAAAGTTAAGACAGCGTGATGTTGAATTGAGTCATCAAAATGCTAACTGTAAATTACAATATGCTAAGTTGAATTTGCTCAATGTTGACTTGCAATGACAAGTGCTTTAGTCGTGATAGTATAATGATAAGTCACGATGTTGTGATGATATGCCAAACACGCGTAACGTTGGGTTTACAGTACATGATGTGAAGTTGACGTTGCATGATGTTAGCTTGCAGATGGATACTGCTCAGTCATCCACATCGACAGCTATGATAACAAATAAAATGAATAGCTAAAATGTATGGTGCTGACTTGTTATTAATAAATGTTGAGCTGAGATAGTACGATGTTATATCATTGTGATATTACGATAGGTCTATCATGCAATCTGTTGAATTAAAACACCATGATGCACATTTGAAAGTACATGATGTTAAGTTAAGATAACACGATGCTACACC